AGAATGCAATGATTTATTGCATAAGCCTACCACATCACCAGTGTATCTTGCTCTTCGCAGATTAATAGACACCTTGGAGTTTATTATTTAAACCTAGAATTATGGTGAAGTGATAACCCAGTGGACGGATATAACTGGACTGCTACAATCAACTGCCAGCAAATCCCGTCCTGTTACAGCAACAGCTTCTACCACAAGTCACTATGCATTATTTAAAGCTAACCCGATATAGTCTGCCTTAGTTTCAACTCCTCTGTGAAAATATACATAATCCCAATTAGATCCATTTGTTGGGGTCATGTACTCTACACAGTGTCAAAAGCATCTCTCTGGTATTTTAGCCCATGTCCGCTGGTAATGGATATAGCTGCTCATCCCACAGATATACAGGTGAACTGAGCTCTAGTGACCAGGCACGCTATGGCAATAAACTGAAGTCCAGCATTGTGTTAGGACTTATTTTCCTGGTTAAAACACCCATTACCAAGTTGAAATTCTATGAATGGATACACCTAGTTGGCAATAATGTTGTAATGGTGTACGGCACACAAATATTGCTCCACTTTTATCAAGGGGCCAAATAAATGTGATTTCCCCACCAGCCATATGACCCAATCAGGTCCGCCTTCAGTGCCGTGATCTGGGGCCTGCAAGGGTCCCTGTAGATATATGTGGTTTATGTTGATTGAGTATTCAGAAGTTGGACTCCAGAGGCATGATCTATATACCAAAACCCCTCCATTAAGCTAAAGTTGATGTGGTGCTTATAGCATCCCTTTAAGGAATTTGTGAGAACATCCAGTATCGAATCCTCTCCCAGTTTCCCCATTCTCTTTTAAAGGAATTTGTGCTATTAGTTATATTGTGTGATATCTTTTCCCAGACTCATTTTTTCTACGACTCCAGGAACAGTTGACAAAGGGACTTCTAATTGTAGACAACAGACCATTGTAGATTGGTTGCCTGGAAATTCCTTTTGGTTACTTGTCCTAACTAGACATGATGTAAACATGTGATGAATCATGCTTTTGGAGCACTATAACTAGATCTACCGGTAACATATAAATGGTGATTCTAGACAGCAGCTGAAGAATGTATTTCCAAGCTAGGAACTTTATTACAATCATGTTTTATTTGGGCACTAAATGGTTCATTTGCTCTTGTTGTGTGTGTTTACTTGATCACTGCCTGTGTACCCCTGTATCATGTGGATATGCTTTTCAGTCTGGTAGTCACTTTAATTATGGTTCTTATCAATTTTTACTTAAATTTTTTTTTTTTTTAATGCGTGGGGAAAAGGAAAGAAAGGGTTTGAGCGTTTTAGTCCAGCTACCAACTTTTTGATCATGAAAGTGATAAAGTTATCCATTTTCCCTTAAACTGAGCTGTAGTTGTACCGTATTGGGAGATTACACTAGACATGGCTTCCTAGGTATGTGACAAATTGGATTAAATCCATGAATTTTGCTTGAGTTACATGTGCCCATTCCAACTGTAAAAGTGTTGCCTATTTCTCTGTTTTTCACCTCCTCAATATTAATGAAATTCTTAGATTTTACTAATAAATTTATTTCTACTCACATTCATTTATAAAGAGATATTTGGATACAATTATACTTTGTAGTAGCAGACAGGCACTTAAAGCAAATCCGTTTTCCCGGCACTGCAGGATCCTACAGTGCAACCCTCCTTCCCACCCCCCACCCCATGTTGCTGAAGGGGTTAAAACCCCTTCAGACACTTACCTAAATCCAGCGCCGATGTCCCTCGGCGCAGGGTCGGGCTCCACCCATGCTCCTCCGCTGCTGACGACAGCCAGCGAGGAAGACCTAATGCGCATGCGTGCGCATTAGACCTCCTCATAGGAAAGCATTATTCAATGGGGATTCCGGCGACGCTGGAGGTCCTCATGCATAGCGTGAGGACGTCCAGCATCATTTAAAACACTTTTTGGGTTTTAAGAACCCAGAAGTCTCTATAGTGGTTGTCTGATAGACAACCACTAGAGGAGTACTTAACCCTGCAAGGTCAGTGGCGTACATACCACGGTCGCAGGGGTCACGGCTGCGACCGGGCCCGGCCCACCAGGGGGCCCGGCCGCCCCTGCGACCCGGTATGTACCCACAGGGCCAGCCTCTTCCCCTGGGGGGCCCAGGAGCCGACCACCCCAGGGCCCCCCGAGGCTGGCCCTGCTGACACCGGGTGGGCGGGTGTCCGGTCAGGCAGGCGGGCGCGCGAGGGAGCACTCACTGCTTCCTCTTCAGCTCCCTCGCGCACCGCACTGATACCGGAGCCGGAAGATGACGTCATCTTCCGGCGCCGGCATCCCTACGCGGCGCGCGAGGGAGCTGAAGAGGAAGCAGTGAGTGCTCCCTCGCGCGCCCGCCTGCCCGACCGGACACCCACCCAGGAGCCCAGCAGCACCACTGGACCCCAGGGAATCCCCCCAGCACTCCAAAAGGTAAGGAGACTGGGGGGATTAAATAAAAAAAACAAAAAAAAAAAACTAGTGTTAGTGTTTGAGTGTTAGTGTGAGTGTTAGTGTGTCAGTGTTAGTGTGTGTGAGTGTTAGAGTGAGTGTTAGTGTGTGTGTCTGCTAGTGAGTGTTAGTGTGAGTGTTAGAGTGAGTGTTAGTGTGTGTGTGTGTCTGCTAGCGAGTGTCAGTGAGTGTGTTACTGTGTGTGTCTTACTGAGTGTGTGTGTTAGTGAGTCTGTTTGATGTCTGTTAGTGAGTGTTTGTCAGTAAATGTGTGTGTCTGTTAGCTAGTGTGTATGCGTCTGTAAGTGTGTGTGTGTCTTCAGCACTTACCTTTCTCCAGCGCCGGACTCCCTTGGCGCTGGGGATCCCTCAACCTCTCAGCTCCGAATGCGACCGCGCACGCATTCAAACCGCCCATAGGAAAGCATTACTCAATGCTTTCCTATGGACGTTCAGTGTGCTCCTCTAGCGGCTGTCAGTGAGACAGCCACTAGAGGCTGGATTAACCCTCAGTGAAACATAGCAGTTTCTCTGAAACTGCTATGTTTTCAGCTGCAGGGTTAAAACTAGAGGGACCTGACACCCAGACAACTTCATTGAGCTGATGTGATATGGGTGTCTGTAGTGGTCCTTTAAAGGACCACTATAGTGCCAGGAAAACATACTTGTTTTCCTGGCACTATAGTGCCTTGAGGGTGCCCCCACCCTCAGGGGCCCCCTCCCGCCCAGCTCTGGAAAGGGGTAAAACTTACCTTTTTCTAGCGCTGGGCGGAGAGCTCTCCTCCTCCGATCCTCCTCTTCTCCTCCCCGTCGGCTGTATGCGCACGCGCGGCAAGAGCCGGTCACATAGGAAAGCATTCATAATGCTTTCTTATGGACGCTGGCGTGCTCTCACTGTGAAAATCACAGTGAGAAGCACGCAAGCGCCTCTAGCGGCTGTCAATGAGACAGCCGCTAGAGGAAATAGGGGAAGGCTTAACCCATTCATAAACATAGCAGTTTCTCTGAAACTGCTATGTTTATGAAAAAATGGGTTAACCCTAGCTGGACCTGGCACCCAGACCACTTCATTAAGCTGAAGTGGTCTGGGTGCCTAGAGTGGTCCTTTAAGTGTGTGTGCATCTGCATGCACTGGCGTACATACCGCGGTCGCAGGGGTCGCAGCCCTGTAACCCCTGCGACCAGGTGCCCACCGCCATGTGTTGCGGCCCGGCCCGCGCGGGGGGGTGGGGCCCACGGATCAATTTTCGCACCGGGGCCCCATGGATCATGTGTACGCCACTGTGCAAGGTAATTATTGCAGTTTATAAAAACTGCAATAATTACATTTGCAGGGTTAAAGGTAATGGGAGTTGGCACCCAGACCACTCCAATTTTTCTAAACATTAATTGATCTTTCAAATCAGACAATTGAACTTATGGCATCCTATTTCTACGTTTCTTTCATTAATTGCAGTTTTTGTTTGTTTCTTAATGGACTAGAGTAGAGTAGAGAGTGTCAAAACGCATTATTTAAAAAAAGGCATACTTGCATTTATCATAGTTAACTGAATTTAGGGGAACATAATAAGACAAGTTAGTTAAGCTCCAGATGCTTTCCAAATCCCTAAGATTTTAATTTGACATCAAATATTTAGCACAAATTGTTAAATTTATTCCCTAATCAAATAGTAGAAGATTTGCAACTTGATCTCATAAATAGTGACAGTCATATGCAACTCAAGCTCATGGCTATATGAATTTTTAAACTACCATGGTAATGAGGTATACGTAAAAATGGGAGGGAGAAAGTAAAAATGGATGATGAATTCTGTAACGGAAGGGGGTAGGGAGGTGGAACAATAGTTAAGCGTTTTTTAGTTATATACATTATAGGCACCAATACAAATTGTCTGATTTTGTAGCATTTTGGATAATTATCTTTTTACATGCTCACTTTCATAGTATTGTGGAATTTTTAAAAATTATATTACATTACGTATAATTTATAGAACTGTCTGGTAAATACTTGAATTTGTGTATTTCAGGCTAGACTCCTGCAATGATGGAGGATCTTTTAAAACACACAATTAATTTTTATCAGCTTTGGAGGCTGAACAGCAGCTTTTGAAGTTGTTCCATGGACTTTTCATTCAGTTGCTGGCACAATTTTGGTAACATTTTAGAAATGTGTTAGCTTTTTGTGGTCATAATATAGGAAAATATCATATTATTTATTCATAGAAACATTTCACAGTGACTGTAAAAACACTGAACAAATTAGATAGTCTACTGGAGAAATGTAGGTCTTTTTTTAAAAGGTTTTTTTTCATGAATTGCAGTTTTTGTTTGTTTTTTCACGGACCAAAGAGAGTAGAAAGTTTAAAAATGCATGCTTGCATTTATCATGCTTTATTTAAAGGAACACTACAGGGCCAGGAACACAAACATGTATTACTGACCCTCTAGTGTTAAAACCACCATCTAGCCTCCCCTTGCCCCCTTAAATATAGTAAAATCTTACTTGTATTCAAGTCTGCAGCTGCTGCCTCTGCCTCTGATGTGCCTGCATGCTGACTTCATCAGAAGTGATTCTGTGAGCCAATCACAATGCTTTCCCATTGGATTGGCTGAGACTTTCAAGGAAGAAGATCAAGGGCCAGCACAAGTCAAACACAGCCTTGGCCAATCAGCATCTCCTATTAGAGATAAATGGAATCAATGCATCTCTATGAGCAACGTTCAGTGTCTGCATGCATAGGGTGGAGACACTGAATGGCAGTGCTGCTTAATCTGCAGCACTGCCCAAGGAAGCACCTCTAACAGCCATCTGAGGAGTGACCAGTGGAGTTATTCCAGGCTGTAATGTAAACACAGCATTTTCTCTGACAAGACAGTGTTTACAGCGAAAAGCCTGAAGGGAATGATTCTACTCACCAGAACAAATACAATAAGCTGTAGTTGTTCTGGTGACTATAATGTCCCTTTAATTATTATTTTTAAATTATTAGCCCAATTTTATTTTTAATATTTTGTCCCTACAATTATCCCTACAAGGTTGTCTCCCCTCCCCCCCCCCATTTATTTATTTGCCTACTGTCTGCTTGTGTCCTCCTGACAACCACTAGAAGCACTCCCCCTGTGAGAAGAGACAGACATGGTTTTCCTAGAGAGCATTTGATTGCTGCAGCACAGCAATTTGCCACACATTTTCCATATGGAGAATTGGTGGATTGACGGAGATCATCAATTTTGAGGATCTCAGCCAAGGAGACGAATCGGCAAATCCAGCGTAGCAGGGAGAAGAAAGGTAAGTGATGCTCAGCTTTTAAAAACTCACAGGGGAGGGGGTGTAACGGATCCCATATACTCAGACTGAGTATATCCGTTGTAAATTTCCAGAGTCCCAAGGTGAAGCAGTGATTATAGCTCAGGTATACCCAAAATCATCAGCCAAGACTTGATGAAGGGTACAAGAAGAATGTTTTATTATGACCCAGTGGCCAGCTTATATACACAGACCCCCAGCATGGGGTCTCCATTCACGTGTACAGTAAGCCTGCCCAGGCGCCTCTGTGTCTGGGAGATAATTAACCATTTTGCTTAATCTAATTATCTCCCAGGCACTAGAGGTACAAAAATAAACAAAACCCTCAAAATATACATAACACATATATGAACCCCCACAAGCATTATATCCCCGGATAGCCTAGATCTGAGCCCCCAACATATCCAAATAGTGCTCAGATCCCACGAACACAGCCGAATCGCCACTGGGGTAAAGTTTTGACCGACCTCACATGTGGCGTATGCCCAAATTAGTTCCAGAGAAATAATGGTAGTGGTCAGTCACTTTCGGGAGTTCATAAACTAATAAAATGTTGAACGGTTTCCCTGGCTCATAGATAGCGATTGTTCGCCTAATTTGTGTGAACAATCCTACCGAATGGTGCTCTCCTATCTCGGGAAAAGAAGCAGGCATCAACACAAGATCACCGAGGTTCGCATGAGGATGTATCTGACTTTGAGTTCCATACGCTCGACCAACAAGTGCCGCTGCCTGCGTTCGTGCAACAAGAGGACCACCATTTTCCACAGCATGTGTTGGTCGGTTATACAAACGGCGGCCACACAGGGAGAGCACTTAAGTTTGTGGTTAGTTTGTAGTTAATGAGTCAGGAGGGTGGTTGGTGTTTGGTAGATTGCTGCTCCAGAATTTGGGAAACATGAATGGGATTCGGGGAACATAATATACGAAATAGAAGGGAAATGTCTTGAGCACAGTAAAACTAGTGTTTGTCACAGGGTGTATGGACACCAAAATGGGTAGAGTCAAAGTGTAGGGTTTTCTTGTCAAGAAACACTATAGTGTTAGGAATACAACATATTTTTCAAATTATTAAATCACTCTAAAAGTTTATACAAAAATATTAATCTGAAAAGCTTTTCAAAAATATTAAATTGAGGTCATAGTGATATACATCCATGATTTATCCTCTAAATTGCCCCAACATAGATCAGTTTTTACTGAATCAGTGACTTGGAGTAAGAGGAATTCAAAAAGGTTTCTAATGATAACTGGAATCTTTTAAAACCTAGTTATTTTAGTTTACGTTTTAATTTCACCACAGCTCATTATTGAGTGATTTACACCCCTATAGTGCTAAATGTAAAAAGTTTCATGTATCCTTCAAGGTCTTAACAGGCAAAATAGTCTTACAGAAACTTAATGTTTCCATTACAGGAAAGATGATGTTCTTAAAAATGGATTTGTTAGTTGTGAAGACTTCACAGGCGAAGGGTTTTGCCACAATGCTGGGAGAACAGAATTGTTTAACTCCTTACCTTGCAGGGAGTTTTGTTCTGTTATTGAAGACAGGCAACACCATTTTATGTAAGTTGCTTTTTTAAAAATTGTATTAACTCATTAAGGACAGAGGCAATTGTCCAAGTTCCAAACCAAAACAAAACCTGGAATTTGAGCTACATGTCTGTTCAACCATAATTTACATTTTTTATATTAAATGCACCCACACTTAGAATATACTATTTTGTTCATTTCGCATTAAATATTGATATATGAAATATAATTTAATATGAATAAAATCTAAACAAGTGTGAGAAATCAAGAAATTGTGTTATTTTCAAAGTTCTTGCCCATTTCAGTTTGTACACATTGAAATTTGCCAGATTGGTTTGTTGGACCCATGTTAACTTTGAGACCATATGACAGACCAGGAATTAAAATGATGCCCACCAATGGAATACCATTTCCAAAAGAAGACAACCCAGGGTATGACCCTTCTTTTTTAGTGGCTGCTTAGTCACAAACCCAAAGTTTGTGTTCACATTTGTTTATTGCATTCACACACAAGCTGCACTTTCACTATTACCTTGTCACTATCCATTTTCCTGCACTAAAACACTCATATTTGTGTTCATAAATGTCTCACAGGTACATGTACAGGTTTTATGGGATTTTGGAAGCTTACAGGGCAAAACAATTTGACAAAGTGATTTTATGGGCCTATGTTGCCTTTGAAACAGTATGGCAGCTTGGGTAATAACATTTCCATCATTATAGCATACTGTTTTCAAAAGTAGGCAACCCAAAGTATTCCAACTAGCATATTTTAAGTTGTTTGGTCTAGCCACTTTATCACAAATGCAGACCCCATTTAGTGGCTATACTTCTATTTTTGTTTTTAACACACATGAAAAGTAACCGTGCCCAAGGATTATGTACAAGACTTAATACGTACATAGGTCTTTTGGGATTATACACGTATTAGACCTCAAATAAAACAGAAGGAACAATAATAGCGCAATACAATATGTACAGTAAGTACGTGATAAGTGATCTAGTGTGATTGCACTCACATTTAATTGAACTATTTCAGAGCTAAGCTCTTTCAGCGCATGGACAGAACAATCCCCGTCTAATGGGGGTTTAGTGACATTATATGATCATACATTGCATAAGCCTGCCACAACGTCAATGTACCCCATCTTTGGCAGGTCCTACACTAGCAGCCTAATGTCTGCTCTTATGAGATTAACCCACTTACTTGGGCAGCCAGCCCCCCTTGTTTTATATATATATATATATATATATATATATATTTGGGAGTCTAGCCAACTCCTTGATTTTGCACCCCTCCCTGTCACAGGTGCCTCATTCCAGGTCCCTATTTAGCCTTGTACTGCAGAGAGCCCCAGATGGAATTTTTCCCCCAAGTAAGTGGGTTAATGTCATAAGAGCTTACATTAGGCTGTTAGAGTAGGACCTGCCAAAGATGGGGTACATTGACGTTGTGGCAGGCTTATGCAATGTATGATCATATAATGTAACTAAACCCCCATTATTTTTGCCTAGATTAGGTGTTTTTAAAAACTAATAAAATCTTTCAACATTGAAGTTGCTGTTTAGTGGATAGGTGAGTGCACTGGATCTTGTGTATTGTATAATTTGGCCCCCAGCGGCACCCCCATTTGTGCATGTTCAGGTGAGTGCAGCCAACCCCCCCTTGTTTCATCTAAGTTTGGATGATGGTCTTGAAAACATTTTGCCCCAAAAAAGTCTTAGCCCCATAATCACAATAAAAGACTATAGAAGTAAGTTCCTTACAAAATAGCATAGCAGTAATTTGTGAAATAGCAAGCATAGTTAGCATGCATGTGCAGCAAAAAACAACAATTCTCTGTAGATTTATTTATTTTGCTTAGAGATTGTGGTTTTGGCTTCCAAAAAATAAAATTTCAAAGTTTTTATTTATTTATCATTTACAGAAATATTAATGAACTTAAACATTTATGAAAATAATAATCTAATATTTGAAATATTAGCATAGAAGCAGGAATACATTTTGTCACACAGCAGATCTGACCAAAATAGATAAATAAAAATAGTCCAACTATATTGAGTTATTTAAATAATTTGCTGTTATATTGTGTAATGAAAACCCAACCCATAACCAGGATATTAGAAAAATAAAATCATCATGAGTGTGTTGGCATTATGAGCACATACAGTAAGTAGTGTTGCTTGGTTAAATTCAAGCATCTGTACTATGGAGGGTATTGCAGGCTCTGCACTTTGTCCAAAGCTCTACTTGGCAGCTAGAATATGGTTCTATAGTTTGACCTATAAATTCTTCCCAAAGGAGGGAAGGAATTAAAGTGTGCAGTATCGAAAATTCAAGATAAATCACCTGTTTTGCAATTGGAGTAAGGCACACTCATGGTACTCTGAAGGTTGACAAGGGGATTCTGACAAATGGTCCCTCACTTCTGCTAGCCCTGCAGTGAGGGGGGGGGGGAGGAGGTACCATAGCAGAGGGTCTCGGCTATGTTTCTTTGAAGAGGACTTGTTTGACAATCTTTATTTTATTTTAATGAGGCGTTGAATACACGTGTACATACAGAAGGTGAGAAAAAAGAGAGGCGTATATATTCCAGCAAAGTACAATACATCCTGGTGCACTAACCCACAGTTTGCCGGTTAATATACCCTCCCTCAGCCTCAGTCTAGAACAGAACAACCAATAGTAACATCCCACTATGGCCAACCACGATGCCCAACCCCAGTACCTTCCTGAGGAACAATCTGCTCCAATAGGTTGTCCGACTACTCCTCAGCGCCTGCAGGGCCTCCCAGCATTCTGGTGGGGGGCTCCCTCCCCCGCGGCTGCTCCAGTTGTGGGCTCTGCCCCCCCGCTCCTCCTCTTGGTGCCAGCGGAGTCTCCAGTAGCCAGTTGCGGGTGCGTATGTGGGGAATGCGGAGGGTCCTCAGCGTCGGGGCGACATCATCAGGCCAACGGATATATAGCCACGAATTCCCATGCTTGATCTGAAGGCTAAAAGGGAACCCCCAGCGGTAGGGGACATTCTTCTCCAGAAGGGCAGCGGTAATGGGCCGGAGCACTCTCCTGGCATCCAGTGTCAGGCTGGACAGATCCTGGAACAGTGCCATCTCAGCACCTGGAACATGATCCTGTCAGTGCCCCTAGCGGCGACCATCAAAGACTCCTTCAATCTATAGGCATGCAGACAACACAGCACGTCTCTGGGTTTCCCATCCTGGCGTGGAGGGCCCAGTGCTCTGTGAAATTCGGTCAAATTGAATGTCTTCCGGGCACTCTTGGCCCAGGATGTGTCTGAAGAGGGCCCGCACCGTATCCTGCAGTGGGACCGCGTCCGGCAGCCCCCTGATCCGGATGTTCTGAAGACGACTGCGGTTCTCCAAATCCTCCACCTGTCGCCTCAGGGTTAAAAGGAGGTTCCCCTGCCTTGTGGCAGCTATTTCAGCCGACCTATGTTGTGAACGGCTCGCCTGTGCCTCAGTCTCCAAGGCATCAACTCTCACCTCCACAGCAGAGAGGTCTGCCCGGACTGCAGAAATCTCTTCCCTGATTGCCGATCTGAATTCCTGCAGCAGGCTATGACTGTCAGCCTTCGTGAGCATGTGTGTAGAGATCCGGGTAAGTTCTTGCCTGATCAAACACAGCGCGTCGCTCCAGTCTCCCTCCTCTGACAAAACTCCTGCGCTTTCAGTCCCTGGGGATGTCGGCGCCATATTAGCAGCCTGCCCAGCTCCTCTGAGGTCCGCCGGCGTGGATACAAAATCATCCAGGGTGCCAGTGTATCTGCGCGGAGAGCCGGTCGAGGGTGTCCCGTGGGGCATAAGCTTCCTGTTTCTGCCCATGTCAGTGCGGCGGTTCTCTCTAATTATTGCAATTAATAGGCCGAGGGCATGGAGCTCAGGCACTACGCGTCTGCTCTCATGCTCGGTCCGGCCACGCCCCCTGAAGAGGACTTGTTGAATAGGCCCCCCTAGTCAAAAAAAATATTTATTTTGGTGAGAGTCAAAGACACACTTTTAAAGAACCAGTGAGTATAGACCAAGTACCAATTTTATGTTTTATATTGTGTGTTATGTTTAAGACCCACGACATGTGAACTTATAGAGGAGATGGAAAGACTGTCCTCTTCAATAAAAGTTCATCGCATCGATAAAATCCAGTATCGGAAACGTTTTGAAATGGATTTGTCAAGATACAACTATGCTCAAACTCCATGAAACCTTCAGGAGGTAAGCAGAGCACCCCCTCTTTGGATGGATGGACAGATTGTGGGAATATAATAGAATATAGAAATGTGTGGATTATTTTCATGGATTATCTTTCTGGCTGCTAACGTACACTTACAGGAAAAAGTCACCATTAACTTAGACCCAGTAGAGCTTGTGTTCTAAAGACTGGTGACATCTTAGACTTCCAAGACTAAATGCATTTATTAATATGGAATATTGAATTGTTTCATTGTAGTTGTACTCAGCAATCTGGGACCTTCTCCAAAATAACTTTTGGCATTTCTGCTAAGTTTTTATCAGCATTTGTAGAAACGATGACTGTACAGCAGACAAGGAGAAACTGGATACTATATTTCTACAATAACTGTTCCTGGTTTTTTTAAATTAATGGTATACGTATATTGTATGTAGACAATGTGTAGTCATTCGTTTGATTAAAATACCCCGGGATGAAAGGTATGATGCAGGATCAGGTTATGCTAATGATGTAATAGATACAATTTTAGAAAGGTTTTGCCTTAGTCAAATGAAAGCTTAACTTCACATTCAAAGCTGTGGCTAATTAGCAATGTAAATATATATGAGTTTACAATCATATATATACACATTATATATTTAATTAACTGTACATCCAATATAATATTCAAATAAAACATAGTATGGAAGGCTATGTTTAAACACAAAAATCAGAACACACGAAAAAGGAAAAACTTAGTTGTAAAAAGTAATATATATATAGATTGGCCTTTAGAGGTAATTAATATGTAGCTTAAAGGTAACTTTCATACTACTGCTGCTGACCACTAGAGGTCCTCATTGTCTTTTGTATTTATATGAAGGTTGAATGTTGTCTTCCTCCCAGAAGAACTGGACAACATATGGTGTAAGCTGCCTATTTCGCACCCTGTACAATAATTTTTTTTACGAAAGTTCCTCTCATATTTTGTCAAGATGACCAAGCCAAACGATATTGGAAAGTTACAAGAAACATTTAAAAACATACATAGTAAAAACAGGTATGAAAGAATAACATTTTTTTCTTTAGCAATGCTAACATTATCTCTAGGGAATGGACATCAAATATATAAAGAGATAGTTATAGAACATTAAAGTATGGAACACACACACATTTAAATAAAATGGATAATCTTGTACATTATGCAAGCAAAACTATTAACACATTCACAGATTTCATAATAAATGTATTATATGACGTTTTGGTTTTCTTTCTGCACCTCTAAATCAGTTTTCAGCATCAACATCTATGCTGGGAATTGATTGACAGATCAGAACAGGAGAACCCCTTTACAGACCGTTCTCCTGCTCTATATAACGGCAAACAAAATACAGTGCATACAATGTAGTTGCTGTAGTATTCTTTTGGCATCTCATGCTTTCTGGAGGAATATGTCATGTGTCGTGCCATTGGGTTGGACTGCAGGAACACAACCCTGAGCAGGTCCAATGGCATCAGGAGTAAGGGCAAACAAAGGAGTGAGGGGGTAAGTGCTACACTGGTTTAACACTCATGGGTCCCAGATCAAGATGCGGACAGCAATGCTGTAGTGGGGGTGACCTTTAGTAAATATAATAATAAAGTATCAAACCAGAAAATGTACATTCAGATATTATCTAGCTTCCAAGAACGTCCTAGACATATGAGCAAAGATAACTGTGAATAAATGTCTGTTGTTGTTTAACCTTTTGTTGAAAAAAAAAGTACACAAAAATACTGCAAATGGTTGATATTAATGACATCAAACATGATACAAGTTTATCCCTCCCCCAAGCAAAAAAAAAAGTTTGTTAATGTGATACTGTCACTGTCTGGAGACTTTGCCGAATTCCCCGAGTCCCACCAATGCTGACATCACTGCTGGTGGTCCAGAGGCAGGTTAAGGTGAGAATATGTCACTGTGCGAGAATACAGCATTGTTGTCTATGGGGAATCCTGCATGCATGCGTGTTAGTGAGCTTGTCTGTAGTAAGCGTGCATGTGTGTGTATCAATGAGCTTGTCTGTAGCAAGCGTGTCAGTGAGCTTTTCTGTAGTAAGCGCACGTGTGTGGGTCAGTGAGCTTACCAGTAGTAAGCGTGTGTGTGTCAGTGAGCTTGTATGTTTGTTGGGGAGTTTACCTGTATTAAGCTTGTGTGTGTATCAGTGAGCTTGTTTGTTTTCACTTGTCTGTACTAAATTTGTGTGGGTGTACTAGTAAGCTTGTATAATTTGTAATATTATATTCACATTCACACACACACACTTTTTCCAGGGCTGCTTTGTGTCCCCAGTCCGGCCCTGTTAGGCTCCACCTTGTGCCAAGAAAAGTCAGGCGGAAGAGAAATACAGACATAAAGTAGTCCCTACATTGGGTTGAAATGTTTTTGTGAAAAATCAACACAGTCATAATGATTTCTTAAAGATCATATCATTATGAAATACTAATTTTTCTGGGGAATGACAGTGCCGCTTTAAATAGGTTTGGTACAATTATTGGCATCTTTCAGTCAATATTTTGTGCTACTTCCCTTTGCCAAGATAACAGCTTTAAGTCTTACGAGGTTGGAGAATATATAGCAAGGGATCGGAGTCAATTCCTCCATACAGAATCTATCCAGAATACAGAAAACAAGGCAGCTAACCTTTGAAGTTTAACACAGCTTGAAGGAAATAAATGATTCATTCGAATTGTTGGTTGGGATTCCCAGGATACACTGGCGTACATACCAGGGTCGCAGGGGTCGCGACTGTGACCGGGCCCGGCCCACCAGGGGGCCCGGCCGCCCCTGCGACCCGGTATGTACGCCCAGGGCCAGCCTCTTCCCCTGGGGGGCCCAGGAGCCGACCACCCCAGGGCTCCCCTGAGGCTGGCCTTGCTGACCCCGGGTGGCCGGTCGGGCAGGCAGGCGGGCGCGCGAGGGAACACTCAGTGCTCCTCTTCAGCTCCCTCGCGCACCGCAATGATACCGGAGCCAGAAGATGACGTCATCTTCCAGCGCCGGCATCCCTACGCGGTGCGCGAGGGAGCTGAAGAGGAAGCACTGAGTGCTCCCTCGCGCGCGCGCCTGCCTGCCTGCCTGCCCAACCTGCCACCCGCCCAGGAGCCCCACTGGACCCCAGGGAATAATCCCCCCCAGCACTCCAAGAGGTAAGGAGGCTGGGGGGATTATATTAAAAAAAAAAAAAAATCATGTGTGAGTGTTAGTGTGTGTTAGTGTGTGTGAGTGTTAGTGTGTGTGTCAGTGTGTGTGTGTCTGCTAGTGAGTGTTAGTGTGTTACTGTGTGTGTCTTACTGAGTGTGTGTGTTAGTGAGTCTGTTTGATGTCTGTTAGTGAGTGTGTGTTTGTCAATGAGAGTGTATGTTTTGTAAGTGAGTGTGTATGTATGTCTGTCGCTGACTATCTCTGTCAGTAAATGTGTGTGTCTGTTAGCTAGTGTGTATGCGACTGTAAGTGTGTGTGTGTGTCTTCAGCACTTACCTTTCTCCAGCGCCGGACTCCCTTGGCGCTGAGGATCCCTCAGCCTCTCAGCTCCGAATGCGACCGCGCACGCATTCAAACCGCCCATAGGAAAGCATTACTCAATGCTTTCCTATGGACGTTCAGTGTGCTCCTCAGCGGCTGTCGTGAGACAGCCACTAGAGGCTGGATTAACCCTCAGTGAAACATAGCAGTTTCTCTGAAACTGCTATGTTTTCAGCTGCAGGGTTAAAACTAGAGGGACCGACACCCAGACAACTTCATTGAGCTGATGTGATCTGGGTGTCTGTAGTGGTCCTTTAAAGGACCACTATAGTGCCAGGAAAACATACTCGTTTTCCTGGCACTATAGTGCCCTGAGGGTGCCCCCACCCTCAGGGACCCCCTCCCGCCCGGCTCGGAAAGGGGTAAAACTTACCTTTTTCCACCGCTGGGTGGAGAGCTCTCCTCCTCCGATCCTCCTCTTCTCCTCCCGTCGGCTGTATGCGCACGCGCGGCAAGAGCTGTGCACGCATTCAGCCGGTCACATAGGAAAGCATTCATAATGCTTTCCTATGGACGCTGGCGTGCTCTCACTGTGAAAATCACAGTGAGAAGCACGCAAGCGCCTCTAGCGGCTGTCAATGAGACAGCCACTAGAGGAAATAGGGGAAGGCTTAACCCATTCATAAACATAGCAGTTTCTCTGAAACTGCTATGTTTATGAAAAAATGGGTTAACCCTAGCTGGACCTGGCACCCAGACCACTTCATTAAGCTGAAGTGGTCTGGGTGCCTAGAGTGGTCCTTTAAGTGTGTGCATCTGCATGCACTGGCGTACATACAGGGGTCGCAGCCCTGTAACCCCTGCGACCAGGTGCCCACCGCCATGTGTTGCGGCCCGGCCCGCGCGCGGGGGGGGGGGCCCACGGATCAATTTTCGCACCGGGGCCCCATGGGTCATGTGTACGCCACTGCCAGGATAGGTAAATGTGGAAAAGGTTAAATGGAAAGGAGAACAATATTCATGCGGAGCACTGACTAAAAGCAGAATAAAACAATGAACGTTCACAAAACAATTCTCACACAATCAGATCCTCATTTACATGAAAGTCCCATTCAGAATTATTGTCTAAAAGGGAAGTAAATAGACTATTATTCACAGATGATGACTTATCTGGTCTGCAGTATACAGGAGGTGGGAAGGTGTTAAAATGAACAAGGGGATTGGGCTTCCTATGGTCTTATTAAACATTTTTGGGGAAAGTAATTACTGTGTTAAAGTGTTCAGCATCTCTTTGTGCAGTGAATAATTGACCCTTCAGTGCTACAACAAAATGGGATAAGGTGAAGGTACCATTGCCATGCCCTGTTATGCTAGTCTGCAAGGAAACCCTAAGTGCTCAGAGCTCTTCCTTCCTGGCTACTAGAATACAGTTATAGTACTTTGATCAGCAAAATGTCTTTGTACAGTGTGGGAGTATTTATAGCCCCTCCACAAAGGTTAACACACAGAGGGTATGGAACTGGAAGAAGAGTAATAGTATATTTTTATATTTATTCAGATAATCTTAAAGGGACACTATAATCACCAAAATCACTTTAGCTTAATGAAGCAGTTTTGGTGTATAGATCATGTTCCAACAGTCTCACTATTCCATTATCTGCCAATTAGGAGTTTCTAAACTCCTTTTGTTTTTATTAATGCAGCTCTAGTCATATCTCTTCTAGCTGTGACTCACATAGCCTGCATTGAAAAAAAGGGTTTATTTTCAATCAGCTCACACAGCACAATGTGTTTACTTTAGAAGTTTTTATCTCCTGCTCCCTTAGCTGATGTTTAAATCACACACACACGATGCTCATGCAGGCATGTAATGGGGCAGAAGGTATTCTAAATTAAACATACTATGCAATAAGGCCAGCCAGAGGAGGTGTTGCTAGGGCAGCGTAAACAAAGCGATGTATCGCCTAAACGGCAGAGAATTGAGCAGGGAGACTGCAGGGACATGATCTTTACACCAAAATGACTTAATTGAGCTAAAGTTGTTTTGGTGATTAAAGTGGCACTTTAACACTCACAAATCAGTTGTGTAGGTCATTAAAATAATTTTTCAATGGTGTGATTGATAATATATCTCTTCAAACATTGTGTATATATATGCCCATTGTTGTGCTCATTCAGGACCCAAAAAGAAGAATCTAGTGGAAAATATTCAAGCTACACTGGCTAAAGATATCAAGTACTGGAGTGAAATAAAATCAGTTGTGAAAATCAGAGACTCCTATGACACAGGACGAGTGTTATTTCCAGAAATCTGCGCACTCTTCAAAACCCTGAAACTGGATGTGGGTCCAGTGGAGTTTGACGCCCTGTGCCAAGCATTTGACTTGAATCAAGATGGAAGCTTCCATTACATTCCTTTTCTAAAATGTTATGTGAAAAATGTAAAAACTGACCCAATAGGATGTGGTTTTATTTTTTAAGGAAACAAAACAGATTACATGTTTTTACAACCTAATACGGAGCACCATAACGAAAAGATAAAATCATGTGTCGACCAGAGCTACAGGACAACTGACACTTGAAGCTTTTATTTTATTTATTTTTTAATATAATGATCCTTTCAACGAGTTTTGAAAGGAAATATGCTTTTATTAATATTCTATGTAAGAAAAGAAGAGAAAATCTTCCCTACCCGTAGTATAGGATAGGACCCTTCAGCCATGTACATGCACCTTGGGTCAGACAGTATTGGAAAACCTCTATATAGTCTCCACTGCTAAATTATCAGACCAGCTATCACATTTAAACACTGTGACAGAAGGTGTATGTATATGGCTACTAAAGGTAGGTACAAGTGTATACACTATTTAACAAAGAGTTTATTTCCAATGAAAATGGTGAAAGGTTTATTAAAAAAGATTTTAAATTAAAAATATGTATACATAGTGTTGAGGAGACAGTTGTACTCTAAGTCAAATTTCTTTGTGTCATGAAGATGTGCATTAAAATGGCATGCCACGAAAACATCTTATAGGTTGTTAGCTGATAAATTCATAGCTAAACTATCACTAACAGGTTGTTATATGGTGTAGTTTAATTTTATTTACAAAGTGAACATCAATTTGCACACGTATCAATGACATGTAAAATACCATCTATAATGAAACAAAGTTTGAGAGTGAGGCTCTCAATATATTTTTGGTTCATTTTTACCTAGGTTAAAAAAAAAAAAAAAATCATTAAATTGCAAAAGTACAAAAAGTATATTTTCAAACATTTAATTAAAGTGCATTTTTTTTTTTATCATAACCACCAATGCAATATAAACATTTCTATACAATAGTCACACTGGTAAAACAACAACCAATGTTTGGCAAAAAACAAAACAAAACAAAAACTTTTAAAATAAGTAGTGAATGCATAGTATTGTAGACATTTAAAACAGACAAAGGTGAAAGAAAGGAAAATGAACAAATACATATATTTGGAAAACAGTGTTTTAAACTAGAATATGCAGCATCTATACAGTTCTTCTTACATTTAACACAATCCACTGCAAACAGTAAGTCATAAAATGTATACAAAACCGTATTGGATACAAGTTATGGTAATTGTGATTAAAAATGAAATAATGAGGAAGTATTTATTCAAACATTCTAATGTAAGTGCAAGTCATTTGTCAGCCTTATAAATGCAAGGGGTTGATTAAAAATTACTATAATTACTTTTGAGTTACATCTTAACAATAACAAAATTGTCATGTTATTAGATCCTGTGTATACAAGTGCAATCCCCCATTTAGTGTTCGATTAAAACTCCCATAACTCTCTGCCAGTTTGCTAGAGAACTGCAGCACTTGGTTCTTTGGCTTTGTTGAGTCAGTACATTACGTTCTGCAACCAGGGTAAATAAATACTTATACAAAACAACAGAATGATTTGCAGAGCAATGTTATGAAAATATATAGACAAACAAAATATTAGATGATACGGAGTACAATAAAAACATAAAATTGATGGCTATATAACAGACTTCAAGGGACACTCTGGACACCATAAAAAACAAACAAAAAAAACCCCTTAATTGGAATTACGTTGTTATGGTGCAAGGGGTCCCAGGCATCTGCTTTTTTTTTTCAAGGGGTTAAACCATTAATGAACAATTTAAATCCAAAGTCTTCAATCTGGCGCCCATAAGCTCTGCCCTTGAACTTCAGTAGCTCCCTGTTCACAAAACAGATATGTAACTTTAACTCAGTTTTGTGAATGGGAAGCTACCGAGCGCGTCAGCTGATGGAACGCATCAGATGTTGGAAGTTCAGGGGTAGAAGAGACAGGCACCAGATTGAATACTTTGGGGTTAAAAACTGCTCATTAATAGTTTAACCTCTTTTTCGGTAAATTGGTGTCTGGTACCACTTAGTACCATAACCACTTCATTCTGATGAAGTGGTTATGGTGCCACAGGGTTCCTTTTACTACTTAAGTTAAGATATGACAATTTGTAATCACAATCTCTCTAAAAATACAGATTTTCTTTTAGCTGATCATGAAAATAAAAAAAAAATAAGATTTGGTCTGAAAATGTTCTCAGTGGTGGAAAAGATAAACTGCTTTATTTATCATGAATCCTACCCACTGAGATTACAGATATGCAGTATCTAGGTTTGTAAGATCACATCTCAACTCAAATTGCAAAGTACTTGGCACCGTTAAAGGAAATTTTCTAAAAAGTGCGACATTTAAAGGAAAATTAACACAAATATATATATATATATATATATAAAAATATGTGTGCAAACAAACTTGAAAAAAAAAAAAAAAAGCTGGTATGAGAATAAAATAACTTTAAGGGGGTGTTTATATTGAATTATTTGCCATTGGCCTGCTGAACATTCACATGATCTACTTCCTCTTTGCGTTACAAGAGACAGAAGGGAGTTTAATGGAGGCATTATATACATACAGGGTTATTAACTGAAATTTTTTAAATTAAAGCACAAAAAAGCAGAAATGAAAAGCTGATTTGTAATTTTTTTTTCCAGTTAACCTATTTTTGCCCCAAGTTTGAATTTCACTTTGAATTGTTGGTAATTGACACAGTTAACAACAGTTAGGTCAGGGGTTCTCAACCCAGTCCTCAGGACCCCATACCAGTCCAGGATTTGGGGATTACCTGGGTGTGTCTCAGGTGTTTAGAAAAAGGGGAAAAAAAAAACACCTTAGACACACCCAGGTAATCCCTAAATCCTGGACTGGTAGGGGGTCCTGAGGACTAACGTTGAGAACCCCTGAGTTAGGTAATTGTTATGTGGATATTCATTAAATTTTTTGAAGCAAATCAATATCTGGATGGTAAAATACAAGCAAAAATGGTCAACTGTGACTTCAGCAGAGTTGAATACTTTATTTCCAGGTTAGCAGTTCTAGCCTGAATTTTGTCTTTTTGTCACAGATAACAATTCAATACAGTATGAAGTTCAGCGAATAAAACGTTACAGAAACAGTGCAGGTTATATTCAGACATCTGCTTAAATGAATTCAATTATTTCCTGTTTTCTAACAGTTTTAGATATTCTTAGTAAATCGTATAATAAAATGGAAACCCCATTATTCAAGGCACATTAGGCACTCTTGGGTACAGAATATTATTTGAGATTCAATAGCAGCAAACATCGTATAAGTATGGCCTCTGTATAATTCTTTTCAAATGGTCATTTTTTACCTACAACAATTCCCATAGACATTAATGATGACTTCTGTAGACAAATTATTTAGAAAATGTCTTTCGACCAGATTGTGACCATTTGAGAATCTAATCTAAAAAGATTAAAATAGAGACCCATGTTGGACTTTGGATCATACACAACACACCTATATTAAATAGCATCAGTTATTTTACCAACCTGAAGAGAATACGGTGAACTAAAGTATGTTTGGCTTCCTTAAATGCACAGTTTATGCAGACAGACGGATTAGACGTCATAAAATAAGTGTGTTCTAAAAGCATACGTCTTAAAATGATTGCGTATGGAGCCAGCCAGGGTTTGCTACCCACAACATAAAGATTCAGATCTAGAAGTAGTGCCAATTCACTAAACAGAGAACTGCGCAAAATTCATTAAAAAATTTGCCTACGGCTTGGAGACCATGTTAGAGCTGTAATAATTCCTCAACTCATTTAGTTTAAAATTTTGCAGTTTGTACTCCACAATTAGCTTTTTGGGAATAAATCCCATTGTGTTAGTGTGCAAATGACATGTCTGTATAGACATTAAACCACTATCCTATTTAATAATAAGAAAACACATTTCTAACAAAAAAAGAATGCAAACTAAAGAAAATGCAACCTCTGACACCGTGTCAGGCTGCTATTCCAAACTGGCAGGACAACTGCTCTCTGTAGAATACTCAGGAAACACAGCAGATTACACTGCAGGATATTTAACCAGCACCGAACAACATAAACACCATCATATACACTATAGGGCTACTAAATACAAGACTATGCTAAGACACCAACAGTTTTCCATTATGACTCCACTTATATCTATGGGAAACACATTACTTTGCTCTGACATATGGAAACTATAAGTCACAGGATAAGGAGAACTGATGCAGAACTGTCAAACCAGCCTACAATAATATGAGTGTTTCTGAAATAAGGCAAAAATATGCTATTGCAACACTTGAACTGAGTCACCGTGTAATTTTGACATCTGTATCTCATTCACTTTGTTTTGAAGTTTCGCAAATGCCAAGTTTAGCATGTTGAAGTGATTGGACACGGACACGTGATCACACAAAGTGGCAAGGGTTTAAAACCAATGGGAAAACCTAGCTTACCATTACGCAGCATATCCCTTAAACTTGCAGATTCTTATTCTTGCAGCAAAAATAATCATACACTCACTGTAATTCTACCTTTGGCCACCTATCTTACCAATCACATGAATATGTTAGCAATCTCATGACAGGGAACGATGGGTCTTTTATTCCAGTAAAATATTGAGGAAGGTTGACATAGCCCTTGCATCTCTTTCCCCTAAGAAAAAGTCCACTAACCTAAGGTACGTGCTTGCGGTGTACATTATCTGACGCTATAAGGGTTTGCCAGTAGTTTCCATTGGAAACAGAAGGCCATGTGTAGTGTATAAGTAATAAGGCAGGGTTTTATTAGCCATATAGCGGTTAATAAACATACAGCTGTAGTCTTAAAAATAAAAACTTAAACATTTGCCAATAACTAATAGATTTCCCATTTATTGCACAATTCCCTGATATCCAAAATGTTGAACTAAAAGGCCTCGCTTATTGCATTTACAAATGGGAAACCCAATGCAGTAAATAGCCACTGATTTTGCAATATATGTGTAGAATAGCGGTTCATTATTAGTCAGCTGCATAAATACAATAAAAATCCTACTTAACTGGAAAATGACGACAATAAAAAGAACATGTCCATGTTTACCATGTTTGTTTCCCACGGGTGTCCTATAGGTTCTCTTAATATACTATACCAGCACTGTACATGGGTGTTTGTACAGTTTGTGTACAATAATGGCTAGCCTTTGGCACTGCAGCTGTTATAGACCAGGGTTTTCCAAGATCCTGGATGAGCTGAGCATCATGGGAAATTAAGTTCAAGCAGCTGCTAGGCCGCAGGTCAACCTACACAGCTTTATAGATACAACTTCCTAAAAAATATGGTCCTTATTAAAGTGTTAGAATTGTCTATCCTTCTACATTAGAAACATCTATTTTATTAAAACGTTAAGTAAATAAAGCAGATTTTAATTATTTATGTTATATTTAAAATTCTAAGCATGGCCTTACAATAGGTATACGCATGAAACCGTTTGTATTCTTAATGACTTACACCGTTTAAAAATGACCCTAACTTCATAACAGTTGCCCTGAGGGGAAAAATAAAAGGAAAATCAAAAAACACAGAAAATACAGTAAACCAACGTTTATAGTCATTTTGTCACATTCCCCTTTTAGTTCCAAGCATGAATCTAAACATGAAAAAAAACAAAAAAAAAAAAAAACACACACACAAACCCCACAGCCTTCTCAATTTGCTAGTTGAATCCTGAAAAATCCAGGAAATAAATTCCCAAACCTCCTAAAGTTCAGAAAATAGTAAATTAAAATAGTGTTAGTTAAGTACCAGGCACTTCCAATTTAATGGCACATAACAAAAAACAAATGTAAAACTACTGCACTTTTATAAAGAACAAACAAATTGATTGCAAGATGGATCTACAGACCCTATCAGACTCATAAGCCTGGGATTATGTTAAGTAATAAAATAAAAATGTTGCTATCTTGCCACTTAAAGAGCCGGTGTGCTCAAAATAAAACACACGGTCAGTACTGAATGCTGCAGTATTAAAAAGGCGACGAATGGAAGATTTAAAACGATTTTAGCTTGTTTTCACTTGAGAGATTATTGTAGTCCCTTGTTAGAACTTGATTAGTAGGGTATCTAAAAACTTTCAATAAAAAGCTTTGGCCTGAAGAGTCAATCAAGTTTTCTTAAATATATTAAGGTATTCTGGCATAATTATCAATATGATAGCACACACCTCAGGCACCAACAATCCACTGGCATGTAGGGAATTGTAGTCATGAGTCATGAAGGCTCACATGCACACCCCTATTAACAGTAACAAGCAGATGTGATATGGCCCCCATGGACAAAGTATAGAGATAGTGTTCAATGTGGTCACCACGTAGAATGGTGATAGTGTATGTTGCATCTACTTCCCACTACCTTTTGAAACAATAAACCTATCTTCCTTTTTGGCTTTAGTTAATTTATCTTTTGTGGAATCGGGGACCCCTTTACGCGATACTGGTTTGGCCTTTGAACTCAAAGTTTTAGAGGCCGATGTACTCTGCACTTTGTCACTTTTTACTGAACTGTCCGATAAAGGCTGTGACCTTGGAGTCGGCTTTGTCCTTTGTGAAACTAGTGTTTTAATTGGAGGTTGTGGAAGTTTCACCACTGACAAGGGAGTGCGGCCAGAATGATTTGGCGTCTCTTTCACAGTCTTTTTCATATCATTTTTGCCATTTGGAATGTTTTTAGATAATGTCTTTGATTGGGTGGCAGGGCGATGTTGAGCAGGTTGCGAGGTGTATGGGAAAAGTGGTCTTGTTGTAGCAACACGAGAGGACACTACAAACGGCTTCCTATCCGTTAAGTTCTTTTTTGGTACTTCAGTCTTCTTATTTACCTTCAGTTCTTTTGATGACTGGGAGACCGATGGAGAGGTTTGTTTTAATGCTAGTTTGGGATCGGTTCTGGAATTAGAAGATCCTGCTTTGGGAGGAGTTGTACTTGTCATCTTACGAGTGTCCGTTGATTGTAGTGGAGAACCAGATGTATGTTTTGATTGTGCTTTGAGATGAGACAACGAAGCAGGGGCTAGTTTTGGTGACTGCAGTTGTAGGATTGGTTTTGTTTGTTGTAACAGGTTTGTAGGAGAATATTGTGAGGTTGCAGTCTTTTGCATAGCTTTATATGGACGAGATGAAGCACTGCTTTTATCTACAGAAACAGGAACCACAGCCCTTGATCGGCTGGACATGGGAGATTTTTTGTCCGAGAAATTGTTTTGTGAACTTTTGCTTTCAAGTGAGGAATTAGCAGTTAGCGGAGGAGAATTTGATTTTTTTGCAACCTTTCTTTTAGGTTCAACAAACAATGGAGATCCTTTTCTTGGTGTCACCTGGCCATCAGGATATGTTTCTGCTGTTGGAGTTTGCTTCACTCCTCGGTGAGGTGTCAGAGCCGGTGACTGCTTACCTCTGATATTGGAGTTTGAAAGCAGAAGTGGGGTAGCAGCTCTAGAGTTGGGCTTTTGGTTTGTAATAATTGCAGACATTGGGTTCATCGCGGGTGGCTGAGGAGTTCTGCCAGATTTGGCTGACACATTTTCATTTTGGATACCTTTCTGGAACTGTAGTATTTTTTGCTCCAATGTTGTAAATTGTAAAACGCGACATGGATCAAATTTCAACAGAAATCCTTGAAGTGTGTCCCATCCTCCGCCAACTCGAACCATAACATGTTTTCCATGTAGCATCTAAAATAAATAAAAATAAAAAGATTGGCAAAGAACACATCACATCACTGAATACACGTGTTTACATTTCGGACCTTGTTTTGTCTAGTTATTGCTGATCATCTCAGTCATAATGCTTGGTGAGCAACTCATACTCTTTATTTATGTGTGATGCATGGTTTACAAACTTGAGAAAGATAAAAGTATGTCATTTTGTGTATAGAATCCAAAAGAATTGTATAATTGCCAAATTAAATTAACAAAGCCTTACATCTCAATTCTTCACAACCACTACTCTAACCATTGCTATTCTACACATATGATCTTATTACATTTAGAAAAGTTACATTTTCTTATTCAGCATAACTGCTCTTTCCTTGTCCCAGTAAACTGAAACAATGTAAGTGCTTTGGAGATACCTATGCCTCATTTACCTCTGCAGTACTTCCAGATGCTCTAACTACATCTCTCTTTAATGCTTTAGGGATGTATCGGAACACTCCATGAAAGGAACACTATAGGGTCAGGAACACAAACATGTATTCCTGATCCTATAGTGTTAAAAACACTATCTAGCCCTTCCTGCCCTCCTTGCCCTCTAAAATAAATGAAAACCTTACCTTTATTCCAGTCTGCATGTGCTGGCTCTGAAGCTGATCTGTCTTGTTGGCTGATATCAGAAGTGACTATTTCCAGAGGAAAGCTTTGGATTGGCTGAGATTGTCAATTCTGATTATCTCAGCCAAGGAGGCAGGCTAGGGGCCAGAGCCAAATGCAGCCCTGGCCAATCAGCATCTCCTCATAGAGATAGATACCATCATTGCATCTCTAAGAGGAAAGTTTAGAGTCTCCATGCAGAGGGTGGAGAAACTGAAGGTCAGTGCCCAGCAGCAGGAAGCACCTCTATTAGCCATCTGAGCATTGGATCTCTGAAGGTGCCTCGACGCTGTAATGTAAACACTGCCTTTTCTCTGAAAAGATAGTGTTTACTGCAAAAAGCATGCAGAGACCGGCTATACTCACCAGAACAAATACAATTAGCTGTAATTGTCCTGGTTACTTATGTTATGAGTGAACTCACACTCAGAATTTTACTCATGGGAACAAATACACGCAGGCCCTTTGACAGCACAAGTAGCTACCAGCAGAAGATTACAAAATATCCTTATGTTTGTAGTTTTAAATTAAAACCATTACCTTTCATACTTCAGCTTTTGACACTCATTAATTCAAGGTAGCATATTTTGCCCTCTAACCAAGACAGTGAGAGATTTGGATTGGTCAACCTTAAAATCACATTATTTCCAGTTAGTTTGTATTTCTGTTACAGAAATTTTTTTTTGACCCTTTGCTGCTAATAAAGAGTTACATTTTGATTCACACTAGAGCTGGCACAGATGTGTCTGATGTATTTCAAAATGTAAGACAAAACCCTTAAGTGACTAGGCAATTTTATTTTAATAACACATCAAAACATTATTAATGCAACCAGCAATTATCATCAGAAGGTTCTAACACGAACTGTAGTAAAAGGCTTGTTTTACCACAATATGCCAGTGACTGGCCAATGTTGTCATCAACAAATTATTATAAATGCTTATATGAGTGACTCAGTGCTCATCGTTAAATTTGCATAAGTCGGGATATCTGAAAATAGTTTGGATGTCCATTTAATATAGAATGAATATAGTGATTGAAAACGACATGTCCACAAAGAATCAAATATATTACTGTGATCCTGCAATCGGAGGAGAACAGCTTATCACAAGCTACTAGCTTTGAATTGTAGTGGAATTAGTTTTGTCTGGGAAATGTTCAGACACAGTCTATGCCTTACAGGTCTCTGCAACAAATAATGCCAATACGAGAGAAAAGGGATTTAGCAGAAGTTGCTACACGGGATCAAATTTCCCAGTAGAACTGCATTTTAAAGAAAGCTGGGGGACATCTGGTCAGGCAGTCCCTGAGAAAGAACGTGAGGGAATTCTTCCAAGGAGTGTTCTGCAACTCCTAAAATACTTCAGAAAATAACGTAATTTGAGATGGATCTTTGACATATTTCAATCATGGAAATATACATTATTAGAATATCAACAAAATAAAAAAAATAATTTACAATTAAAGGACCACGCTAGGCACCCAGACCACTTCAGCTTAATGAAGTGGTCTAGGTGCCAGGTCCCTCTAGCATTAACCCCTTTTTTAAATTTTTTTATAAACATAGTTTCAGAGAAACTGTTATGTTTATAAATGGGTTAATCCAGCCTCAAAAGCCTCTAGTGGCTGTCTCATTGACAGCCACTAGAGGCGTTTGCGTGCTTCTCACTGAGAAAAACCACAGTGAGAGCACGCAAGCGTCCATAAGAAAGCATTATGAATGCTTTGCTATGAGACCGGCTGAATGCGCGCGCAGCTCTTGCCGCGCGTGCGCATTCAGCCGAATGGGAGGATCTGAGGCGGAGAGGAGGAGGAGGAGAGCTCCCCGCCCGGCGCTGGAAAAAAGGTAAGTTTAACCCCTTTCCTCTCCCCAGAGCCGGGCGGGAGGGGGACCCCGAGGGTGGGGTCACCCTCAGGGCGCCATAGTGCCAGGAAAAAGAGTATGTTTTCCTGGCACTATAGTGGTCCTTTAAGATTGCTATCGCCTGATGGCAAAATGAAATTAAGGTATATTTACCACTACCAATATAGTGATATCCAGAGCGAACATCCACTTGCCCTCTAGCCATTGGCTAGCAGAAATTCTGCTCCTGGTGAATGTGCCATGGGCCCTCCAAGCTTGATGTGGCGACCAACAAAAAGGTCTGGCTAGCAGCGGAAGGCTTTTGAACCGTGTTGAGGCTACATAGCTTTGGAAACTATGGAGCAAACAGTATCAGAGATAACTCACTAAGAAACCAGTCAATGCACGTATCAGGTGCTTACCATCTACCTTTAATCCACAATGAGTTTTGGGAATTTGTATGGCTTTACCCCTAATGCCACATAATTTATGTGATTTTTACATGTGAACATTGATTTAAAATACCAACATAAGCCTCAATTTAATATTGTTGGATAAACTTTTAAAATGCTTTAATATTTTGAGGGGGAAAAAAAACAAAAAAATTATTTATAATATTTGAAAAATATATTTTGTTCATTTTTAAGTTACATTTTAAAAGCGTGTCCAAAAATATTAAATCAAGGCCATAACAACAACACTGAACTAAATGCATCTTTAATGTATATTTGTTAGTTTCAAGGTGTTCTTGTTTATTTTCATAAAGAAAGAGGCCAAAAGTTATGGTTTTGGTTTTAAGAATGGATTCTCAATTTTAATCTAAATGCCACCATCTTCTAGTACCACTCCAAATTAGATATTTGGGATACTTTTACTAAACAGAAAGACACACATGGATACAAAATCCATCTCCAAAGTTACGTCTTCCTGCTGTGAATAATTTAAAAGGTTACTCCAACCACCATGACCACTTCCGTGATTTGAAGTGGTCATGGTTCCTGAAGTGTGTATGTGCAGAGCTTTGCTGTGAAACACTATGCATAAGGGTTTAAGCTCTTTGCTGCCAGAGGTGCACCTCCACCTCTGTTAGGGTCATGTGGGTTCATCAACCAAGCCAGTATGGCCAACTTCAGCACTGTGCAAATATTGATGCCCAGGCACTCATTCACTGGCTGAGAGTGGTCAGCCAATAAATGAGGGACAGGATTGACATCCAGCTTCTGCTGAAGACAAATGTTGCAAACCTGCTTACAGAGCAGACCAGACACCCAGCCGGAACAGGCAAGCGGGCATACTGCTGTAAAATGGTTTTCCCCATTAATGGGGAAATTACACCAATGTACTCCTACCATCATAACCCATGTAGAGGGCTGTAGTGGTTATGATGGTTGGAGAAACCCTTTACGAGAATCGGTTCTTGTTAAAGTGAATGATACAGTAACAGTTCACATACCCTTATAAAAAGAATTTTATCGCCCAAACGATATCGTCCTTCAGATAAATACTCAATAGAGAATCGGTGGGAGCAGTTACAAGGAAGATCTTCAGCTATGTGCTTCACCTGCAAATTGAAAGGAAATTAAACTGGTAAATGAGAAAAATATAGAAACAAAATTAAGGATCAATATATTTGTACACATTATAAGAATTTATTCTTTTTTTTTTTTTTTTCATCTTGACAAGGGTAGCACTATGAAATTTTCAGTGTGGCTTGTGCAAAAGCCCATTAAAACATATAACAGATAACCACAGTGATACATATAAGAAAGAGAAAAACAATCGTGATAATTACGACATGTGCGTGAGTAATACGTTTCCAGCTACGCGTCAAGGGTTTTTTTTTTTTTTTTGTACTAAAGGTGACATAGGAACTGTGTGAACTTCGTTTCCAGAGTGTTGCATTGCCATGTAACTCAGCAGGGGTGTATAGTAGTGTAGCTTTGCGGGATTTATTATTCTTTGGGTGACCCCGTTACTCTGTGTCCTGGCATAATAGGGCGGATCCCATTCGCATCAGTGATATTAGTTCCCAGTGGGTAGCATGTCCTATGTCTGACTCTGACGTTAGTTGATATATGACCTACCGTGTAGGTTAGCGCATAGTTTGTTAAGGTAGTGGTTTTTATCGGGGGGGAAGCACTGGCTCACGAACCTCAAGGTGGGACCCTGGACCTGCCAGGGGAAGACTCGTTCGCTAGGGAGTAGGGTTCGGTCCTCAGGCTCCCCCGTGATATTGTGAGTGAAAAGAGGGTGAAAGGCAAGAGAGAAGAAAGAAAAGAATAAGGGGGGGTAGGGGGGGGGAGTCAAGGGCTAAGGAGGAGGGGATGGGGAGGGGTAGGGTACGGGTATACGTCAGGTCACCATGGTTTGGAACACTTCCGATTATGTCTATCGTGTTTAGGCTCCCCGTCTGTTACCAACTCTAGCCGTAGGAGGGTCAGGTGTGTGTTGTGTCGTCAGAGAGGTCGCTACTCTGCCATGGGCCCCACAGTTTGTCAAAGCTAGTCATTGATCCCCTTAGTCGGGCTGTCAGTTTATCCATGAGGTGCACCTCTTTTATGTTAGAAATTACCCTCTGAATGGGTGGCATTTCCGTCTGTAACCATGTCTGCGCTACGGCTCTCCTTGCGGCTAGTGTAATCTTGTGAATCAGTTTCTGTTCCCTCTTTGTCCAGTCGTCTAAAGATCTGTTAAGCAGATATGTCCATGGGTCTAATTTGGGGGCTTTATGGAAAATTCTATTGATTAATTTGTGTATCTTTGTCCAGAAAATTTGCACATGGGGGCATTCCCACCACATATGGATATAAGTGTCGCTAAGGCCACAACCCCTCCAACAGTTGTCGGTCGGTATTTGTTTCATGCGGTGCAATTTGGCCGGTGTGGTGTACCACCTGAACATTGTCTTATAAGACTGCTCCTGAAGGGAGACGCATATGGAGACAGAGTTGTTCGCTTCCCATATTTCTCTCCACTCTACTCCCTCCAGGACCTCACCCAGATCTTTTTCCCACGCGTCTGCATAGGCCAGGCTGCCCCATTCCCTCGTTTCTGAGCATATGTGTGAGTATAACTTGGTTATCAAGCCCTTCTGAGCCGTTTCAGTGAGGCACATCTTCTCAAAGAAAGTCAGCTGCTCTTTAGCGGCCCTTTGTACTTGTGGGTGTTGTACATAGTCCCTTAACTGGAGATACCGAAAGAAATCTGTGGGGATGAGATGGGTCGCCTGTTTTAGGTGGTCGAAGGTGACAAGCTGGCCGTGTTCAAACATATGGCAGATTCTCTGTAGGCCTGCTGTTTCTAGGTTTTTAAAATCTCTCGCTGCCATGCCCGGGGCAAAGGCTCGGTTTCTCAGAAGGGGTGTTAGGGGAGATGGGGAGGAAGCCAGATTATACTTAAAGGCCATGGCATCCCATATCCTCAATGAGTTTAGTATGGCTGGGCATGTGGTCCTTAGAATTGGTCTGTCTTCCTTGGGGACCCACATATGATATTGTGGGAGGTCTGCTCCTGTCAGTAAAGACTCGAGGTCTACCCATCTCCTCACTTCTAGAGGTGCGTGCCACATTGCCACTTGGGCGAGTTGCGCCGCTAAGTAATAATAGTATAGGTGTGGCAACCCCAGTCCTCCCCTCTGTTTCTGTCTGTACAAAATGTTTCTGGAGATCCTATGCCGCCGGTTTTGCCAGATGAAGTCGCCTATTGCTTTTTGTAAATGAGCTAAGTCGGATTTCAGTATTTTTATGGGTAGTGCCTGAAAAAGGAACAGTATTCGGGGCAGGATATTCATTTTAACTGTGTGTATGCGCCCTATCCAGGAAATGGGTTTGTCCTGCCACTTTTCCATGTCTTGTATTAGTGTTCGTATGAGAGGGCTATAGTTTAGTTGGTAAATTTTGGTTGGGTCGCTGGGAAGTTGTACTCCCAGGTACTTCAATTTGTCATTTGCTATGGGTATATTATAGGTGAAGAATTTATTCTTTAAAGGGACTCTCCAGTGCCAGGAAAACAAACAGTTTTCCTGGAACTGCAGGTCCCCTCTCCTCCCACCCCAAGTTGCTCAAGGGGTTAAAACCCCTTCAGTGACTTACCTGTATCCAGCGTCGATGTCCCTCGGCGCTGGTTCAGGGTCTGCCCACGCTCCTCCCCCTCCGACGGGGGAGACCTATTGAGCATGCGCGGCCACCGGTGGCAATGCCACGCACGCACATTAGACCTCCCCATAGGAAAGCATTGAAGATGCTTTCCTATTGGGATTTTAGCGATGCTGGAGGTCATAGTGTGAGGACGACCAGCGACGCTATAGCACACTTTTCATGTGCTATAAACACGGAAGTGCCCTCTAGTCACTAGGAGGAGGAGTTAACCCTGCAAGGTAAATATTGCAGTTTATGAAAACTGCAATAATTACACTTGCAGGATTAAGGGTAGTGGGAGTTGGCACCCAGACCACTCCAATGCGCAGAAGTGGTCTGGGTGCCTGGAGTGTCCCTTTTAATAGGGAAAGGTAATGAAACATACAAATATAAAAATTGTTTATTGAAAAACACTTTCCATCATCAGCTATTTAGAATATGCAAACCGTATGCATTTAGATGGTTTTATAAGACACTGCATGGAATACACTCTGTTCTACTAGGAGTGGCTATGGTAAGACCAAGGGAAATGAGACACAGAAGTCCCATGATAGTGTTACTTGGCAGTGATTAGAAAGAAAATAAACAGTAGCTCACAGCCTCATGTAGCTCATGGTGACAGCAGGATTTCTGGATTTCTTTGGAGGCTAAAGGTCCAGATTCCATTAACAGGGTTTCTTCTAGTTCAATCTCCTTTTCCAGTTTAACCAGGACTGGAGGCTCAACTCCATATCTGGGGAGGAAAAAAAAAAAAAAAAAAAAAACAATTATTGAGTTTAATTTACTGGGCGAATAACTATTTACTAGCATGATTTTGTGCACGTGTATCAGGTTATTTCATGTGAGCAGTAATTTAACAAGATCAATAGATTTTGAACCTGCTCATATTTAGTGAAAATAACATCAAGTGCCTCCAAAAGCCAATTTAGTTCACATTTTTTATAAAAAGTTACTAAAACCTAAAACAGTTACATAAGAGTAAGCTACATTTTTTTGGGTACCTTTAAAACACGGTGTAAACTCTCTATCCCCCTACTAGGTGGATAGAGAGGGAAATCAATGGAGCGGGGGTGGGGGGAAGGGGTTAAGGAGAGAGGGATATCTTAAAGGATGTTAGAAAAAAAAGGGACATTCAATAGGGGTGTTAGTGGGGGGGGAAATACAAATAATGAGAGGAGGGACATCAACTTGGTTGGTTTAGCATAGAGAGGGACAATTTAACTCATAGAAGGATAGGGAAAGAGTGACATCGAATATGGTTAGAATGAGAAACCAAAAGGGGGCTAATAGGATACCTAAAATAATTATTTGAAAATGAAGGTCACAATTCTCATAGTGTTCAGCCAATCTTAAAAGGGATGCTATAGTAACCAGAAAAACTTCAGCTTATTGTATTCGTTCTGGTGAGTATAGTAATTCCCTTAAAGGACCACTATAGTGCCAGGAAAACAAACATACTCATTTTCCTGGCACTATAGTGGCCCTGAGGGTGCCCCCACCCTCAGGGTCCCCCTCCCGCCGAGCTCTGGGGGGAGGAAGGTGTTAAACTTACCTCTTTCTCCATCCCCGGGAGGGGAGCTCTCCTCCTCCTCTCCTCCCTCTTCCGTCACCGGCTGAATGCGCAAGAGCCATAATGCTTTCCTATGGACGCTGGCGTCTTCTAACTGTGAAAATCACAGTGAAAAGCACGGAAGCCCTCAAGCGGCTGTCAATGAGACAGCCACTAGAGGCTGGATTAACCCTAATATAAACATAGCAGTTTCTCATTAAGCTGAAGTGGTCTGGGTGCCTATAGTGGTCCTTTAAGGCTTTTTGCAGTAAACATGGTCTTTTACAGCCTAGGGACACCTCCAGAGGCCACTCCTCTGCATGGAGACACTAAACTTTCCTCAGAGGCCAATTAGTATCTATGAGGAGTTGATAATTTAACAGGGTAGCGTTCGACTCCGTCCCCGGACCGGCTCCTTGGCTGAGATCATCAGAATTGACAATCTCAGCCAATCTATTACTTTCTTATCACCTTCTGATGATGTCAGCCAAGGTGGCAGAGCCAGCACCAGCATACTGGAATAAAGGTAAGGTTTTATTATATTTAGGTGGGCAATGGGGTGGGAGCTTGATAGTGTTTTTAACACTATAGGGTCAGGAATACAGGTTTGTGTTCCTGACCCTATAAATGTTCCTTTAAGCCTGCTTGGGCATCATCGATATTGCACGTTACAGACATATGGTAGGTGCAGATGAAGAGGTTTCTGAACTAGTTACTGTGATGCATAGCTAGCCATTACAGGAACACTATTCTTGACACTATAGTCCTAAAGTGGCTGTTTAGGTGACTGGCCCATTTCCAAACTCCAGGAAAAGGTGAGTTACTCCCCTTTTCTCCCATGCAGTGCCGGTCTCCCAGTAGCTGGTCCCACCTCCGTGGCTGAGATCATTAATGATATTGATCTCAGCCAATGCAATGCTTTCCCATAGGGAAGCATTGGGAGGCTATTGCGCATGTGCGGCAAAATGTCATGCTGTGCCTGTCAGCATCTCCTCAGAGATGCATTGAGCATCATAATTTGCAGCTGCTTTGGGGCTTGGACCACTTGCCATCATTGAGGGAAGTATTCATTTCTAAGTTTATCAAGATATCCTACAGAATAATATCATGGTGGCTGTGTGCTCAGTAGAAGTTGGGAGATGTAGCAGGACAATGAGCCCAAACATCAAAGTACATCCACTAAATAATGGCTTCAAAAAAAATTTAATCTGACTTTTGGAGTGGCCCAGACCTTAACCCCATTGAGATGCTGAGGAATGACCTCAAGAGAGCTGTTCAGACCAGATATCCTAAGAATATGGCTGAGCAGTTCTGTAAGGAAGAGCGGACCAAAATTCCTCCTGAACGTTGTACAGGTCTAATCCGCAGCCAATGGAAATGCTTGCTTGTGGTTATTGCTGCCAAAAGGAGGATCATGTACTTTTCCCACAGCACTGTGAATGTTTAATGAGATGCATTCAATAAAAGACATGACAGATTATAATGGTTTGTGTACGGTCAGAGCTTAAGCACATTGTATTTGTCTATACCGGTGACTTTGATGAAGATTAGGTCTTAGGACCAATTCATGCAGAAAACTAACTAATTCCAAAAGGGTTCACATACTTTTTCTTGCCACTGTATAACTGCATACACATAAAAGAATATCAACATATATACATACTGACATTGCACACAGGAACAATGACATACACACAAACTGACATTGTGCACATACAGGAACACAAATATCCACTGACAGTTTGTACAAAGAAACGCTGATACACATTGACAGTGCACACCGACACTCACATACATTCACAATGGCTCTAAACACAGAAAGCCTCACATATTGCACAGCTACATTTTATTTATTTAAAGTCACGTTTGACATTACCAGTCACACACAAACAATTTCAAATAAGTGTTGTTTAAAGAATGACTGTATTAGGCCATATGTAGAGATGACAACTTATGGCCTAAAACCTTTAACAATAAATTTAAATTAACATGGCACTGCAAAATTAATATTTCATAAAGATAAAATCAATGAAATGCCAACCCAGTCAAAAGATACACTGAGACAAAGTTCAGACCTCAATGCTGTACTCTCGCATATCCCTCCTTCTCCGCCCCCAACCCAGCCATCCAACCACCAGCGATAAATTATGCAGAGCCCTCACACAGTGACAATTCCTCTATAAGTGGGAAATGGGTAGACAAGGGGATGTCATTTCTGTTGCATAGGAAGATTAGAAGCATAAGGGCTGGCCATAAGCCTTCAGTGTACAAACCTTGATACTATCCGTCCAACATCTAGGAGGCAAAGACACACCTGGCGAGGATCTTTATGCAAAACTAAAAAGAATTTACATTTAAAAAAAAAAAAAAAAAATCACTTATTGTAAAGTACATAGAATGAACACTTATATAAAAAAGAATAAATATAACCAAAAAAACTTGAGACATTTTTTTATCTGCCTAGGCTATGACATCTACAATCAATCAGGCTACGACAATCACTGCTTAAAATAAAGTTAACTTTTTGGTTCTTATCATTTTGCAGATTTGTGCAGACTCTGAACTACAGTTGCTCTAATTTTATTTATGGTTTATCATAGCAACATTGTACATCTCTCTCTCACTCTGTATTCATGTACTAAAGAATGACCATACACAAACATAATATCTTTATTCAAGCTGAAAAGGCTTAACAGAGCATTCAATTTTAATTGCAAGAAAAGATGAAGTTACGCTGGTAACAAGCTGTCAGATTTCATCTATGTGAAAAAATGGAAACGGCAGCTGTTGGTCATAAGCTCAGTCAGACTCCTGCAGGCATGATCTCAAAACACTATCATCTGGTCCTCACACAGTGGGACCAGTCTATGCACTTTCTATAGCTTGCTGTGTTCTCCTTCCTGCATGGAAAATAAATGCTCAGTACAGAATCCCAAGTACCCTGTAGTAATTTAACAGTCACGCAGATCTAAATTAAGACTGTTTTCTTTTAATTAAAGTAGCTTTGCTCAAAAGGATCCTTTGTTATAAAGTTTATTTTTAATCTATCCTTCGTTTGGTCACCATAAACCGCATTAAATCAAGGCAAACAATCTAGCTAGCAATCCAAGAGAATTACAAAAATGCCAACCTACAAACTATTCTAAAAATGTTTCTTATTCCCAAACACAAAACAAAGTCCAATAAATACCAACCATAAAGAGGAGTAATATAGGATTTCAGACTGTCTGTAGCCAAACTTTATACCTTATAAGATCATATAAACGGAACCTCGAATACATTAAACATTCCCAATTCTAAGCTATTTGACTCACTGCTTCCTTAATGAACTGTATTTTATTTCCTTTTGTTCCCAAACATATATCATCTGAAAGGTAAACGTGTAGTGTAGAATTAAAGAGTGCAGTTACCTAAACCTTCGGATTCGAAAAGATAAGCACCATCCACTCCAATACCCCTGCACCAGCGAAGAAAATTAGCAGTATTGTCGCGGGCAAAGAAAGAACCTGAAGGAGCATCTTGTCTGCAGGGAACTCTTCTCATTGGAAAACCCTAACATAAAAAATAAAATAAAAAAAAAAAACCTTATTTTAAGAAAGGACAATAAAAATACACTTTAACCCACTCACTATCTATTCTGCTCTATTTCATCAGTGGGCTAATTAAACTACTTTCCAACGTACCTCTCCAGAACGAACAGTTATCCTGTAAGGAACCTTCCAAGTACCATAGCCACTATAGTCCACTGTAGAGGTGATGGTGTCAGGAGTGCACTGGGGCAATCCCACATTAAAGAGACTCTCCAGTGCCAGGAAAGCAAACCGTTTTCCTGGGACTGCTGGTGCAGGGTCAGGGTCCGCCCACGCTCCTCCCCCGCGGACGGCATCCGGCGGGGGAGACCTAATGCACATGTACGGCCGCCGGCGGGGCGAGACCTAATGTGCATGCGCGGCCGCTGGCAGGGGGAAACCTAATGCGTATGGTGGCAATGCCGTGCATGCGCATTAGACATCCCCATAGGAAAGCATTGAAAAATGCTTTCAATGCTTTCCTATGGGGATTTCAGCGACGCTGGAGGTCTTCACATAGCATGAGGACGTCCAGCGACGCTATTTCAAATGCTATAATCACGGAAGTGCCCTTTAATGGCTGTGTAGTAGACAACCACTAGAGGAGGAGTTAATCCTGCAAGGTAAATATTGCAGTTTATGAAAAAAACTGCAATAATTACACTTGCAGGGTTAAGGGTAGTGGGAGTTGGCACCCAGACCACTCCAATGGGCAGAAGTGGTCTGGGTGCCTGGAGTGTCCCTTTATGTAGTAAAACAATTTTAGCACAGATTGAAAATTTACTTGGGTCTAGCCAGTCACTCATGGCCAGAGCCTTGCTCCTAGTCTTCTCCTGCAAGTTAGCTCTACTCAGCTAAGCATGGCCTTGCAGGTCTGCTCTCATTGATTGGGAGAGTTAGTTGAGAACAATCCTGGAAAGGCAGTGACATCTGGCTTCTCCTTTAAGAAAAGACAAGATGCAGCGTGGGCATCCAGTGCATCTCAATAACTTGTCAAATCATCCAAAAAATGGTTTAGCTACTTAACCAGAGACAGTACATAGGCTGTGGTAGTTATGGTGCTTAGAGTGTTCCCTCAGAATCTAGTATCAAATAATACATCTTCAAAAGGACCCCTCAGCATATGTGAATATTGTAATCCAGATTCATTTGTCTGAACCCAATGCCCGTGGAAAACACATTAGTAATGCAGTGGAAACTAAACTTGCAAACACACTTTTATTATTATTTAACATTTACAAATATTTGTGAAGGCTGTTCAAAAAGCTGCACTATAGCAGGTTTGGTTTAAAAAAATATTACAACAAATAACAGTAATGAAAAGAAGATAGATACCAAACTTGAAATTGTATATATATTGTAAAGTATGAAAAAACAAACAAAAAAAAAAACAAAACACATGATAAAATACTAAAACATATCCAACAAACAAAATGGTGTTCAGTTTCAAGAATATTGCATTTCATCATAAAACAGGTTATCTCCACAAATTGTTCCATGAAGATGCCTTCACTAACAAATTGGTAAATATAACTGTTAGCAAAGTAACCCGGTCTTGGCACAGCTTTCCAAAGCCTTACCAAAGGGATACTATACTACCAGGAATACAAAGTTGTATTCCTAGCACTTCCGCTCTCTCTGCCTCCATCACGACCCCTCCTCCGCGTTAAAGGGTTTAAAATCCTTTATTTACTTAACTAATCACAAGGCCGATGTCCCTCGGCGCTGGGTCGAATCTCCACCCCCTCACAATGAACGTGCGCTAATGCTGCACGGGCATTAGACCTCCCCTTAGGAAAGCACTGAATAAACGCTGGATGTCCTCATGAAGAGTGTGAGGATGTCAAGCATTAAAGGGACTCTCCAGTGCCAGGAAAACAAACCGTTTTCCTAGGACTGCAGGTGCAGGGTCAGGTTCTGCCAGGATGCGCCACTAAGTGCAAGAGGGACATTGCATCCAGACCACTTCAATTAGCTGAAATGGTCTAGGTGTCTAAAGTGTCCCTTTACCAAACTCAATGCTGGATTACTGCTTACTCCATCAGTGATACACTAGAAAACAGCATATGAATACCATATGATATTGAAGAGATGGGTAAGCGTGGAAGTTCAGGAGAAATCTGAAGAGATGTACATCAGAAACCGCTGCAATGGCAATGTTATCAATTGTGTAAATTAAATATGTGTTATGCCTGGAATATGCCCAAAAGTCCTTATATTCACAATAAACTTTAGCAAAGAATAACAAATTCATTATAAATGGTGTCACAGTTAACAGAAACAAGCTGTATTAAAGTGAAACTGTTACGTCTCTGAAAATTACATCATAGAAGAACACATTGAAAATCACCTATATATTGATCATATTCCAGTTCAGTACAGAAAACAAATCAGGTGAGGAACAGAAACAATACTTCAGCTTTTCCTTGTTTCCTGTTCAACGGCAGAAAAATCCAATATTTATGATGGATTATATGGCGCTAATGGAGGCAAACAGTCCCACGAAAGATGCATACATTCTAGCTTAAAGGAAAACTATAGTCACCCAGACCACTTCATCTCAATGAAGTGGTCTTTTAGTTTTAACCCTGCAATGTTTTACATTGCCGTATTTTAGAAATTACAACATTTACATTGCACAGTTAAATCGAGGTCTCGTTGCTGTCTTCCTGACAGCCTCTAGAAGTGCGGCGAATTGATTGGAGAGGAGCGACATTTGGCCGCACATGCAATTTTCCAATTCATTGATTTCATCTAAACCAGCAATGGATTAGAGGATAGCACGGGTGATGTCAACTTGGATGCTGACATAGCAGAGGCAGAGCAGGAAGCTGCAGCACAGGAATTCTGGCGCTGGAAAGAAAGTGAGTCATTTTTTTTTTTTAAGCTTAAATTTTTGCAGCAAATGGGAGTGGACAGAAAAAGAACGTATAGTCCCGAAATAACTTATTTTCAGAACTAAAGGTTCCCTTTAAAAAAAATGATATATCATAAAAAATACATATTATATGTGATTTTGGTAAAAGTGTTATTAAGTATATCTGTAGAGGAAACATTTTTGTTTAAAAAAAAAAAAAAAAAAATCAAACAATTTTTTAAAATTTCAAATGATACCTTGAGTTCTTCAGCTGTGCAGCACTGCTTCATAGTGTTTTGGACGACATGGATTAGTTGACAAAGAAGAGCACCATTGTCAAGGTCCTTCATAAACCGTTCCACTCTAACTTCTACCCCTTGAAAAAGAAATGGACAGTTTACTTTTCTCTAGCTAATGAAATATACACCACTTAGTCACCCCTGCATGACAGAGTGTCTCTTTAGGATTCTGTAACCTTTTTCATTTTAGTGTTGTAAAACTGTGAAATTTGTACTCACATACATGCACGCACACAGATAATCATTCTCGTATACAGGTACACACATCCAGATACAAACACACAGGGACATGCACACTCAGAGGCATACATGCTGACACTCCAATACCTTAAAATAGCAGGGGAGAAGAGGTGCTGAAGAAAGGACTCTCGATTGAGGATTTAGCATGCGGTGACATATAACTTGGTAATGACAATGTGCAATGTTCCCATTCTTTTACTCACATAATACACTCTGATTCCACTGCTTGCACCCTGTCGTGACTGCCTGAGCACACTACATTACGGGGGAAGCATCACCAGACTGTTTGGTCACAAACCAGACATCTGAATATAATATATATATATACACACACACATACATATATATATACATATACACATACACATATATACACACACACATATATACATACACACACACACACACACACACTCTTATATTACAGACGTACCTAACAAGCCAGTGAGCCAGATTGACAGATCTTCTTGCATGGGTATCAAGGTGGCTTCGTGGCGCACAGCTAGCCACTGGTCATATTGGGAAACATCAGCAAGGCCTGGCCCATGTCTAGGAATCAAAGGGCTTCTTGAACTTAGTGGCACGTCATCTCCAAACCACACCTGAGGATGAAGAGTAGGAGCAAGAAAATGTTCTCATTAAGACCTCATGTCAATTGGTATAGCCTCCAAAACCATAGTATTGTCAAATTATCTCTACATGCCAACATTATTTCTTATAGAATGTTAATCAGTTAATAACTACATTATTTAATTATTTAAGGAGATTGTTCTGGCTTTAGTTCTTCCTCTAACAAGTGAAACTATACCAGTTGTGCAGCGCTGAGAAACATGTTGGCACTTTATAAATGCCAGTAACAAATAAATATATAAATACATTGCCTTCCTGCATAGAAATTAGTCAAATGATTTAAAAAAAATAAAAAAATAAAAATTGCATTAATCCAAGTAAGATTTCTGCAGAGTCACTAAGGCAACTTAGGTCATTTGCAATCAAATTAAGGCTTATAGAGGCAACTTCTGGCTCCCCTTATTACATGTTGTGCAAATGCTTTCAGGACTGGCTACTATTTATCGATCATGCAGGGATGGTAAAAGGCAAAGTTTAATAGATTTTTGTATAATAAAGCCTTACTAAAGGAAACAAAAAATCAAGAGCAAAAAAAGCTGGTACGCAGAATTGAAGGTGTAGTTTTGCAGCATCTAAAGGTCTTACTTTGGCTGCCCCTGCTTTACAAAAACAGGATAAGTTTGTATTTTGTGTTAAAAAAAAAAATATAAAAAAAAAAAATATATAAGAACCAAACAATCTTACTTGCTTTGCAACTTATATCATCCTTAAAGCAAAAAAATTATAAATAAAATAAAAAAAAAAGAGAAAATACCTGAACCGCGTGATGCATGTTTCATTAATTGGATTTAAAAATTATCCTCGAATTCTAGAAGAGAAGGTAAACAAAGAAAATGTTCTTCAAATCTGTGCAGTTAAGCTGTGTGTTTCATATATAGAAAATTCTTAAACATTTGCTAGAACTGGAATAATTACTAATAGCTCATGGTGTCACACAGTAAATACACAAGCTGCTAGGACAATCCCAAGAACAGTTCCATAGAATGCAAGGATGCATGCTATATAAATGAATTATTTGCCGCCTCCCTTGAAATCACACAATTATTACACCAATGCAAATAATAACTTGTGTTTGAAACCGTTTTTCATGGTATGTGATTTATCTTTTCTTTTCATTCTAAAAACTTTGCAACGGATATCATAATATAGTTCAGTCGAGTCATGGCCTGGCCACAGCACAATGTATTGGTGGAGCAAAAGCAGAAACATTGTTTTTGCTCTTTACATAATCTGTTCAATCACAGAACAGGGCCAAGCGGTATACACTCTCCCCTCGTCTCAGACATCTGATTGGTTATCCATTTTTCTGTTTATTTTGATTTTACCTATGTGTATCGAATATATACTGGTTGGCTTATAGTAGTTCAGCTCACTCACTGAAGTCTGTGGCAGTCTGCCCTCTGAGTACGTTAATGGATAAGAAAGTCATTTTACTGGGAGGAGGGGACATGGCTAAGGAGGCACTTCTGGTTCTGAAACACTACAAAGGTTTGAGCATGCAAGAAGAGTGAAAAATAAAATGAAAAAAAATATTAAAAAGGAACACTACAAGCACCATAACCATTACAGTGAACGGGAGTCAAACCATTTTAAAACGGTTTAATGTTTACTTAGGGTCCACTAAGTAACACTAAACAGCTCCACAGCTTCAGATCAAGAGCCAGAAGCTCTTTATCTGAGCTAAGCCCAGCAATGAATGGCCTAGCTCCAGAGAGACAAAAAGCTTCTGCTTAGAAGTTTCTTGCTCTCTGTCAGAAGTAGTGGAGACAAGGATGTACGACATCAGATGTCTGATGCCAGTGGTACCTTAGTTAAAAGGTCAAACAGTTCTAAATCAATGGGAGGGAGGGAGGGAGGAAGGTTAGGCTTTAGAGCGTTGTAATGGTTATGGCGCTAGAAGTGCTCCTATAATGAGGTCAACTCTATTAAAACACTGAAGATGTGTTGGTTGCAGGAGCTTCCTTTACCACAAATCCGTACACAGCATTTTCTCACTCAAGTGAGAGTAGCAGAGGTTTAAGTGATGGCATTTTGTACACTGGTCCACATTCTTTGACAAAAATGAACAATCAGAACAAGCAACATGCAAGTTAACAAAAGCTACAGACATCGCTGAGTTTTCCTCATAGAAAAACAGATTTTATGGTTACTGTAGTTTTCTCTCTATTTCAAGAAATGTGCATGTTTTTATTTTCATTTCAAAATACAAATCAACGGTATTTCGAGCAGATTAATCGTTAAGTACATTCTGAGCTTTCAAAATATGGAACGGAGACATCACTTTCGCCAGCTGGCAGAAATACCTAGATAAGGAGGGTTTGCAAACGGCTATTGTGACACAGATTCCAGTCTATACATAGACCTATCTTACGAGGATTGATAAATCACAAAAAAGAGCTTAACAACCAATCAAGTCAGTATTATTTAAGTCAAACCTTAAAATGTTTTACCTTTCATCAGTTTTTAGATGGGATCACCACAAATGGTCTTCCTGTGTTTTTTTACTAAATAGACTAAGGCACTAGTGGATCATCACAGCTTTACCATTCAGTATCCATTTGGCTTGGTGCAGCACACAAAGGGGTTTGGTATATTGCTCAAGAAAGGTACCTGTGACACACAAGAGACATTTTGTTTTATTTGCCGAATGATTATTTGAAAGCCAAAAAGAAAACCACATAGTAACTGAGGCAATGAGAATGACAAAAATGTAGGAAAAAAATAAATAAAAAAAACCAAACACACAAACAAATACACCAGGAAGAAAGCAAATAGTAAATGTTTGAAATGGTTATTTTGTACAAAAGCTGAAACCCTTTTGTCAATGTTCACAATTTTCTCTCTGTTGTTCTTACTATAGTAGAAACCTGACAGTTTCTTGTTGCATGCATGCATATTAATAGAAAATATGTGTCTACCTAGGAGGTCAGGGTTTCATTCTGCGGTCAGTATGTCCACGTTTGCAAGGACAAGCAAAAGTCCTTTAGTAGAAACCATAAAGGATACAAACATTTCATCCTGACCAGTAGGAGGCCAAAGCAGAAAAGACTTGATGATTCATGGGAATTGTTGCAATGAGGAAATGTAATCTCTGCAGTAAGTTTATTTTATAGCAATGATGCTGCCAGAACAAGATTGGAGAAAACGCCATTGTTTCAATGCTTTTCATAATGTATTGGAGAAAAAGAACATTTACAGAATACAGAACATGTTGGAGGTTAGCCGAACTCCTAGGTGGCAGAGTTTGGAATCGCCTTCCACCATGCACTGGTGGTCCTTAGCTAAATTTAAAGTTTGAAACATAACTACACTAGTCTAACTTTTGGGTTAAATGCAAAGTAGAATATATTTGGGTTGCATTGCAAGCTGTTCCGCAATATTTCTTAAGTTATTACAAAGGGACAGATCTTTCTCTTTTGAGTTAGTTTGGTTATTCTCTTAACTTGAAAGCGAATTTTGCTTTTACCACCATATGGCCCTTATTCACAATCCAGAAGGAAAATGTGTCTCTCTTCTAGAAACCACAGTAGCAAAGAATAATCCTATCTTTGTTTTACAAAATATCAAACCGTTCATTCAGGCAATGGGTATACTTCAGAAATATACAAGTGGGATTCTGGCCAATGAACAGCAAAGGAAAGAGCACAAGCCCAAGTCATTGAAAGACCCACACAAGTTGCCGGAGCATATGAAATCCTAGCCGATGAGGGTCACACACAGTGTGAACAACATCAAGTAGCTCCATTGTTTTATCCATGTCCAGTCACTGGCAAGTGAATGTACAGACTGGATCATCCCCAAGAATCAAATACTAGAGATTATTCACAGCAGACCTCTATATATTACATCTAACTCCAAGGGCTTAGGGAGAGGAGGGGGCAAGCAATAAAAATGTTGTCAGATTGTGAAATAGCTTCTAGAGATTAATTGTAAGATAATACTTAACAGCTGGTGATCAGATGCCAATGTACCATACAGTAAATGATTCCTTGGCAATAACTAGATGCACACAGATGTAAGTGGTTATGTAATTCGCAGTATTTACTGCTCTCTTATGGTATGTGAGATTTTTAGCACGAAGAAAAGCCAGTAGACTTGCCTTTAATCCACATACATTTTACTGTGGCTCAGAAAATGACAATGTTAAAAACACCCTTGGTTAAGAGAGGATGGCAGTTTTCCTACTTGTTGCATTTGGTTTCCTGCAAATAATAACCTGGTATTAATTTATACCAGGGTGAATTTGGATAAAAATAAAAGTCGATTTGAAATCATAAGAAAGGTCTATAGTTGCTAAGTAAAAGTAAGTAGAGAAATAATTAGAAATTACTATTGAAAGAGTAAAGGCTGAAATCTTCATTGGGAGATAGGAAGAAACGGGGGAGATTGGCTCCATGTAACCAAACATACAGCAAATATAAACTTACTCCCATGACCAGAAGAAGACACACAAATTTGTATCCGCATACAAAAAGAAGCCATGTACGATGGAAAGACTCCGATTGTAAAGATAATCTGTCATTGCCTTCATAGCCCTCATTTCTTTAATTTAGTTTGATGAGCAATATACAGCACACTCCCATGGTTTCACAAAGGAGAGAAAGTCAAGGTTATTCACTAAAGTGTGGATTGTTAGGAAGCTAAAAAAACCTGACAGTCTGCAGTCTTGAATACAAGTAAGACTTGTACTATATTTAGGGAGGCAAGGGGGGCTAGATGGTGGTCTTAACAATATAGGGTCAGGAATACATGTTTAGGTTCCTGACCCAATAGTGTTCCTTTAAACTTAAAACATGGCAAAGTGAGGTTCAGAATCATGGATAAAGAGAGCTATTGCAACATTCTATAAAAGATGGCAAGCTAAACAGGAATACCTGAACAGTTTAGCCTTCTATCTTCTAGTCAACTGCATGGGTTCTGTAACTATGCCTGCTTGTACAGGGCTGTGTGTGAAATGGAACAATCCACGCCCTCTGAAAAATATTATTGCATTCACATTCCCCTTTGTATCTCCCTATACAACAGAGAACAACTTAAAGATTCCATACACTTATAGTCGCCTCTCCTTGCATCCTTAATTATCCCATATGTTCCCACTTGATTCCATCCACAGCTGCTCCTGTCTAACCCACCCCCACAACTATTTGCTGACATAATAGAGCTATAAAAATACATCATACTTAGTATATTAAAAAGAGATGCTCCAAGTACCAACAAAACCTTTTTGCATTTTAGATCTTTTAGTTTAAATAACTAATTGGATTTGCCCCTTGGCAATTGTATACAGAGTGCAAAATAAAGGTTTAGCAGCATCCATCTTAAGCCTGCCTCTTTTGTCCCACATTTCTCATTCTAAAATACTCCTCTCCTGTGAGTTCCTGATCAACAGAATGCTTTTCATATGGAAGTATTGCAAAAAAGGGCACAGGTTCTAAAATTGCTGTGCTGCTCCTGCAATGCTTCTCTTGCTTTCAGCTTTGTGCTGTAATCAGCAAGAACCCAACCTGTTCAAAAAAGGTGCTGATTTCTTCTTATACTGGCTCTTATATAAAGTGTGAAAGAGGGGACACTAGGGTTTTAGAGTGTTCTTTTAAGTACACCTAACAGTTAAAACTCCATAAAGCAATCTGTTGGGATCTCAGACTTGGCAGAAGAACAACTTACACGGTTATACATCAACGAGAGAACTTAAACTCTGCTTAAAAATATTGGTTGGAATAATAGAATCAACAAGCTGCCATTCCACAATCACGCTAACTTAACTAACCAAGCGATGTTGAGCTTATCTCACTCTATTTTAACACAAACACCGATTAGCCAAGCTTGAAATACACATATATATACAAAAATGTGCGAATTCTCATGCCACAGTCTAACTATTGTTACTCTTGAATCACGCTGTTGTGGCGTATGTTGATACATTGTAACCCCCCTGCACAACAAAAACTAAAGAATAAAAAAACAAAAAAAACAATAGTAGAATCAAAATATTATTTACCGTGAGTTAAATTTTAAATTTACTTTAAGGTCACCTAGTGATTAGTTTAGTGAATAACCCTGCTAATATTTAAGGGGACACTGTAGGCACCCAGACCACTTCAGCTCATTGAAGTGATCTCCAAGTATAGTGTCCCTATTGCCTTTAGTGCTGCAGTGTTATACATTGCAGATCCATAGAAACTGTAATGTTTACATTGCAGCACTAAATCTGCCTCCAGTGTCAGTCTAGCAGACAGCCACTACAGGGCTTCCTGGTTTAAAAAGGAGCTTTGGTCCGGTAACTGACTCTGGACGTCTTCACGCTCTGCACGATGACCTCCAGCGTCAGATTTATCCCCATAGGAAACCATTGATTTAATTATTTTCTATGGGGATGTCTAATGCATGCGTGGCATTAGCCTCTCATGCGCATAAGAGCCTGCTCATCGTGGGGCGGAGGAGAAGCTTCGACCCAACGCCGAGGAACGTTGGCACTAGGATCAGGAAAGTAAAATGGTTAAAAACCCCTTATTCACTCAGGAGGGGGTGTGTAGGGGAGGGGAGAGGCAGGAGGAGCGATCGTGCCAGGAATACAGCTTTGTATTCCTGGTACAATAGTATCCCTTTAAGGAACTCTATAGGCAACCAGAGCACTTACTCTCAAAGAAGTGTTCTAGGTGCCATGTCTGTCTCTTTAACCTTGCAACTGAAAACATTGCGATTTAGTAGATATGGCAATGTTTAGATTGTAGGGTTAACATGCTTCTAGTGGCTGCATTCCAGACACGCACTAGAGGCGCTTCCACCACAATAGCAAAGTTAAACTCCGCTATCCAATCAGATGCTTTCATAGAGACCATTGCATTCGCACAGAGCAGCATTTTGCTATGTAGGTGCCCAAGCCTCACAATGCTTCCCTATGGGAACACATTGGATTGGGAGAGGACATAATTAGGTAGAGTACATTTATAGCATTAGAAACACTTTTATTTCTCAACGCAATAGTGTTCCTTTAACAGTCAACCTGAAGCTTGCTCTGGAATGGCTAACGACACCTCTGGCAGCAAAGGTAATTATCTATGTGTTGCATTTCTTACTAAAACCCTGCACATACAGACTCCAGGCACCATAAACACTTCAAACCCCCAAAGTAGTCATGGTGCTTGGAAAAACTATTTAAGATGTAGTGGTTTTGGTGCCAACACTGTTGAAATCCTTCCTAGTTTGCAGCAAATTCACAGTTTTAACAGGAACCTGGAAGTGGCTGATAATGATCATCCAATCCCAATCTTTCCAAAATTTACAGTAGAAACGCCCTGAGAAATCTTATAAATCATTAACTTTTAAGGGTTTTTAAGACAAGCAATTCAACAATACATTCAGTGAACACATTAAGTTAATAAAAATACATGGGTGAATCCACTGTCAGAGCTAACAGAAGCCACAGCGATTAGTAAATTCTTCTTCAAAAGCCTTATCTCCATCTATCTGTAAACCGGAAACCCAGAAAAAAAAAAATGGATAATACAATGTCAAAAGCATTTTAGGCCTCCTTCATTTTAAAAAATACGATCGATCCTTACACGTCTGTATAATGGAAATAATTACTAAATTTTTGACAAAACAGTGAATTCGTCTGGATCCAAAGTCCAAAAGATTTTGCTTCCTCTATAGTGCGTATATCGGGATGAAATTGACTCTTCCTGTTTGTTACCACAAGATTAAAATTACATTCATGGTTTGCATTACTTTGTGACCAAGGGTCACATTCACAAGCTTTCTTGCAATCTCAGCTGACTTTTGACTATTAATAAATTTTACAAAAACATGGATTTTTACAAGGATATTCTATATTACACGGAACACTTAAAATAATGAAAATAATGGTATTATAAAGCCTCCCCGTGCCCTGTAATTTTACTCAGAGCGTGCTGATTGCAACCAGAGTGCTCTGACCGGTAAGTCTGGAGCCTTGCAGGTAACCAGTAAGGTAAGGTTCAAGAGTGCTCTGAGTCAAACTGCAGGGCACAGGAAGGCATTATAATTCTACGTGGTAACCTCGCTGGGTGAAGATGAATTATGTTTTAGCGTCTGGGTTTGTTGGTGCAGGTAGGGTTTTTTTTGGTGGGGGTGGGGGGGGGAGAGGGAGAGGGGGAACTAGGGTCATCTTAATAATTAGCCCAAACCCCAATAGGTGGGGGAGTGAGACAATAGGTCCCCCTCCCTATTGTCACAAGGCTCTTATCCACCGCTAATGGGGAGGAGACAATAGGCCCCCCTTTTCTCTCTTATGCCAATATGGGGGCCATATTATACTCCATAGAGTGAGGGGGGTAGGGAGCACTGCTTCTATTTTACATATTATAAGGAGGGAACCGCAAGCCGGTAGCTCCCTCCTTGTAATAAACTAAACTAACAAAAGAAAACCAAAATGAAATTCTGTTTTTGTTCGTCCTTTGAAATTTCTATGCATCCATGCTTCTTTCTGATTGATGAACGAATAGCCAAAATTCCCGTCTGAAATTCTGACAATAGCGAATGCACAAGTATTCAACAGGGCTTGCACTAGAATTTTGCAGCGCTATCTAGTGTGGGCAGATGACGTGTCCCGCAGGGCTTTCATCTACCCACACTAAGATGGCGGCACCTAGATCCGGGCAAGAAATTAACAGGTAAAAAAGGGTGAAATTGGGGACATAGGGTGACAGTCAAATGCACTGGAGTGGGGTTAAAAAACAAAAACAAACAGATGCAGTCATGACAGTGCCACTTTAATTCACAAACTATCTGCAGACAGTCATAGAAACTACAGTCAGATAGGTAGAGATTTGCTTATATATCTACATGGGTGTCCTCTCCTAATGCAGGTTGCTCTGTAGTCCATTGGCTGACCTGTGTACATATATTCATACAGTAGATTTTTTTCTGGAGTGGGGGGGATATGTAGAGGCATATCTACTAAAGATAGCACCTATGGCAAGCACCGACATTGCACCCCTCACAACCCCAGTCCAAATATTTTACACCACCTGCTAGATGAGTTTACCATAAAATTAGCTAAAAAAAAATTGCATGTAATGAGTGTGTGAGAGATGAGCTGGATGTATGTAATGTGTGTGTGTGTATAATGTAGCCCCTCCTGCATGGCTTTCTTCAAGGAAGGAGTGCTTTTATCCCTGGTAGATAAACTCCTTGGTGGTCCAGCATGGATTAGCTCTGCCTGGTGGTCTATCAGGGTCCTAAATTCCTGATGGCCCAGCAGGAGAGTATGAAGTTTGCTCCATGGCAGATGCAGACTCAGTAATCAACCCATCACAGTTTAGCACTCAGCGAGCAAGCGTGCAAACTGGGAAAATCTGGTAGCTGCGCTCTGACTCACTACAGAGCACCAAATCACAAGGAATACATGACGGAGGTCTGCACTTGCAGGAGGTGAAAACCTCATGCTACCAGATCTAATCACCCCCACCAAGGCAGACCAGTCCATAGCAGGCCTTCCTGTCCACTGCTCAGTGGTGCCAGAGCCAGATTAAGGTTGCCCTGGCCCCTAGACAGGGTGCCATATTGGGTCCACCATCTAGAGTGCTTGGCTCTGTGTCACGAACGGTTGTGTGTGCAGTGGAGGTGTGCTCGGTGTGTGATGAGACTGTAAGACCTGTATGGGGTGGGACAGAGTGTGTGTCTAGCATTATGTACCAAGGTTTGGGGATCAGTGACTGTGGGGATGACAATGTATAGGGGATTTGTACATGTGGAAGGACAGTGGAGGCTGTGTTAAAACAGGCTCCCACACTGCAATTGCCTTAACATTTGCCTCCCTTCCTGCTTACCTCCTGGGCAGGAAGGACGGCACAGGTGGTGGGCCACTAGAGCAGATGCAGGACTTCTATTCCGGCACTCTGTGATCATATCAGAGCACAGGCTGGGAAACCCATCGCCAGCAGTGTTCAATTTGGCGGCAAATGTCAATTTATTCTTAGATATAGTCTTTTGACTAAAAAGTCATTCGTCGTATTTTAGTCACCTGAATTGTTTCAGTTTTACTAAATTTTGACTAAAATTGATAGACGACAAAACTAACTCTGGTTGCCAGTGGTCTGACTCCCTCCCAGAGTGCAGGAACCGTGAGAGAGAGAGTGCAGCTGCCACCCAGAAAGAAGAATCTTAAAGGGCTGCGCAGGGAGATCTTTTGATCGCTTTTCCCCAAACTGTGTGGATGACACCGTGGCTAGCCCCATCTCCATGGCTGAGGTCAACAATCTTGATCTCAGCCAATCCATTGCTTTCCCAGAGAAAAACATTGGGAGAGTATTGCACATGCGCAGCAAAACGCCATGTTGCTCAATCAACTTCTCTTCATAGAGACGCATTAAATCAATGCATACCTATGGGGAGCATTAATGTAGGTGCTGCACACTGTGCAGCACTGACCCAGGAAGCACATCTAGAGGCTGTCTGAGTGACTATTACCAGACAGGAATGTAAACCATGCCTTTAGTCTGAAAAGTCAATGTTTACATTGAAAAGCGTGCAGGGACAGTATATAGACTTCAGAACAAACTGAAGCCGAAGTGATTCTGGTGACTAGTGTCCCTTTAAGAAATTTTTTAAAGTTGAAAAATCTGTCTCCTAACATTTTTAGCTGGCTCCTAGATTTCAAGCAAATTTTTCAAGCCCAGATACAACGTATCAATGAAGCCAAAATCAAATGCATTAAATGGTTGCTCCAAAGATAACCACGTTAGTGATTTCAGTAATCAATTGACGCTCTCCACCAATGAACTGGCGATGGAATGCAGCTGTGCAGAAGTTGGAAGCGGGTCACTCAACTCACAGGATGTTTGCCACCTGTCAGGACCCTGTGAAGAGGACAAGCCAAAAAAGGAAAGGTGTCAGGTTACTCCTGGCATCAAAGCATGCTGTAGTTGTTCTGATGCTTAGAGTAACATTTTAAAGTTGTGGGTGAGATAAGGAATCACATCATCCCGCTACTCTGACTGAATACAAGAGCATGCATATAAAATATAACAAACAAAATTACAATTACATTTTGTCTGGCTCCTATATTATATGGAAATGTATCAAGCCCTACTTTGTTGACTTTTTAAATACAGATGTAGAGTCAAGCCACTGACCAATCAGCAATCGTCACCATATACATGCAAATGATAAAATATCTGGGAAATATCCAACAATGCCAGGCTTTACAAGAACATTCTCTGTACAATGCAATTCCTTCATGTGGGACTTCAATTGAATGGGATATTTCACATTTTGCACATCACATCCATAATTTGCTGTGTAACTGTGCCAAGGAATTCTTCCACTACATGGGTCTTTGTTTGATGACATTTTAAAACAGAGCTTTCTTTATACAACTGTGAAAAAAGAAAATGAGAAACTTTTCCTTATTTTGTTGGAAGTACATAAAAGTCGACAGGCAATTAGATTTACATGTTTTTAAAAAAGTCAGATAACACTATTTGAACAAATGTCATCAACATTGGGTTTAATGGACACTGCATGCACAAGGTGCTCTGTTTTTATTGGGGCAAGCACAGAGAAACGTACTCTGTTGGGTTTCTTTAAAGGATAACTCCAAGCATCATAACCACGGTGCATGCTGTAGAGGTTATGGTGCCCGGAGTATCCCAACACTTCCCCAATATAAGTAGATAAACCCTTTGCCAACAAACTGACAACTTACCTGAGATTCATCAGGTGCAGACACTTCCTTCTTACTTCCTGTGACTGGGAAGCTCCTGCACAGAACTTCAGTCAGCTCTCCCGAACTAAATCCACCCATGCATGGCCAGCTCACTGGCTGAAAATGTCTGACGAGCACTCTCTGTCAAGGCAGCTCAGAGCAGGTAACTGGTGTTTAGTAGACCCCAGATAAGTTATCAAACCATTTGCAAACATACATTGGGGGCACCAGAGCATTCCTACCACCATAACGAATCAAGGTCCCTTTTTGGCAGAAAATCTCTGCTTTTGATCTTCTACAAGGACATTTGCAGAAACCAGATGCTTCCTTGGATTACACAACCTGTATCATGTGCCATTTTTCTGAACATTCATTATAATTTGTTTAAATTTAACAAGTTAATGAATTGCCAATGTTTGCTGCTGAGTGCATACTTGAACAACTTCATTATTACTTATAAAAAAAAAAAAAAAATTTTTTTAATGGAAATGTACACAGATGACTAGGTTCCAGTAAATTAGCTGAGTACTTTAGTGAGCACCCACATATTTATATTCTAGAATTGTATGCAGACCCCTGGCTCAGCCTCAAAAATCCAATATGTCATAAATCCAAAACCAGTCTAGCGAGTACTCATAAAACGGATGTGATGTGATTCCCTCCTTAAACCAGGGGTGCCCAAAAAGGTAGATCCCCAGATGTTTTAAAAACTACAGCTCACATGATGGTTTTTCATTCTAAAAGGCATGCAAAGCATCATGGGAGTTGTAGTTCTACAACATCTATCTACTTTTTGGGCACCCCTGCCTTAAACCAAGATATATGTTTCAACTATCTCTGGCCTTTATCAAGACATCACTGATAATGATTGGAAGATAGTTGTAAGTTTTTCCAGTGTAAGGTTGCAGTAAGTGTTGCAGTGTTTTGCTTATTGTTATTTTTATTAACAGGGTTATTTACTCAAGTGAGAATTCAAAGTGATTTTCCAGTTTAAAGTTATAATAGCCAAACTGAAACAATTCCCTAAGTCTGCTATGTTTTCAGTTCAGCTACTCTGGCCTTAACTTTGAAATTCACTTTAGTAAAAAACTCTGTTTCCAGTAAGGGGTCACAACACTTCCGCTTTTAAAGTCAAACATCCAAGTGATGGAGCTAGAATGCATGGGTTTTAGATCTGCATGTCTCATCAGCCAAGATAATCTACATACGTTTTGACATGATGCTCAAACAAAAATGTAGTTTTGCCATGCTTCCTTAGCATTCATTGCCAATTATATGAAACCAACAACAAGCACCAAACCTAGCTAGGATTGCCTAAAAATACACAATAGGACTAAAAATGAAGGGAACTGAGGAAATTAAAGAAAGGATTCTAATCAAAGAGTCCTAAAGTTCTACAAGCAAGAGAATATTCTACAAGACTGCATGCAGACCAAAAGCTCTACGTTTGTACTACACTATATGTCAACAGTAGATAAATGCAAAAAAAAAAAAAAAAAAAAATCTCTCATGCTATGTAGCACTAATTGTGGCCTTCAAATATATTTGGTGAAATTGTTCTCCTCTTGTCCTCCACTATCTGTTTTAGACTTGCAGTCAGCACCCAGCCAGACGCTATAAAGTATTTAAAATGGTTAGAAAATGGTTTCCTCAATAAACTGAAACTGCAGTTCTTCCCATGTGTAAATATATCTGTGATGGAGTTATGGTTTAATGGTGAACCACAAAGTTGGCCTGGACTAATACACATGAAGGCATCAAGGAAGTCTGTTGAAATTATGTATTTTGTCTTCTTACACAGAGCTTTTGTATTATAAATCACCAAACTGTAATTATATAGCAAGGACTTTAACCTGTAGAATTTCCCATGGCCCTTTCCTATATTGTGGAAGTATAAAAGTATAATCTGTCATTTGAAGTGTATAATGATGCACTGCATTATAAATCCCAATAAAACAAGCAGGTTTTTCATTACTGTACAGTGTTAATTAGTGGTTAATTCAAAGTTAATTTAAAATTTTAGGACAAAAATCTCCAACTCTTTTACCGGTCAATTACTTGCTGCTATATTTTCCTATTGTAATACAGTCAAGTGCTTGGAATAATTGGCCCTACATTAATGCGTATAGTAATACATTTTTGTTATTGTAATAAGCTTGCAAGGACTGTATTCACTAAACACCTATTAGAGTGAAATGAAAATAAATGTTTGCAAAAGTTTAGTTGGGGAATTATTCCAAATCAAGGGGAGAACTTGGGTGTTGTGCTGCCAATTGTCTTCTGTCATCAGCATGCTATGTGTGATATATCATTAGCAAGCAGGTAAGTCTCATTATGGTCTAAATAATTATGCAGCCGAAAGTGGAGTTACAGTAATCGGTAGCAATGTGCAGCTTTTCAAATCAAAAAGCTGCGCATACAGATTCCAAGTACCATGACCACTTCAAATCACTGCTCGGTGTAACCTTTTAAAATAAAACCCAACACAGAAAAACTGAACTTTTTACAAAGAGTCTCACTTTATGAACAGCTCAAAAGTGACAGCGCTGTTTGAATAATAACAATGTCCTTTTGGAAAGACGATACATTGTTTCTTGCTAATATATTGTGTTCCAAATTGAGACAAAAACATTTTACAACAGGTCTGAGTCATTTCTTCCTCAGAGAAGGCTTACATGACATCATTGCTATAATGTGATAAATAAGCTATTTAGGAACCAGAAAATGGGGATGTCAGGAGCGGATGTCAAAAGTGCTGACCACTACAATTATTCTTTCTAGGCATACACTTAGTATAGAACAGTTATACATAAGGTACAGAGGCTAGTGAGTAACCAGGATACCAGCACTCTCCATTACCCAAGCAGATGGGGCACTGCACATGGGAATTTGTCTAATGCATGTGATTAAGTCCCTGGAGAAAGTACAAGGTTATCTTAATACTATTGGGAACACCAGGGAGTTGCTGACAAGGTTTGTGTATAGTGACAAGTACAAATGGATCTCTGCAGACAACCTTAGGATTCCTCTCAGTATAAACACAACAACATAACTTTGATATCAGATTTCCTCTCAATAAAATAGAGCATTCTGTTTAAACCCTTTCCTCTCTCCCCCCCCCCCCAAAAAAACCATGACTTCTACTAATCAGAAGTAAAGAAGTGGCATATATATCAGAACAGGTGCCATAACTGAACAAAATAAACGGACATTAGTGAAAATGACTACTTGTAAAACGAGACATTTCAGGCACTCGATTCACTAACATGAAAGATGTTGAGAACCTTGGAATAAGAATCCAAGAGGCTACAATGAGCAAGGGCTACTGCAAACATTTTCTTTTCACTTTATTTTTGCTTTAAATTACTAATTTGCTGCCACTTATTTTTTTTCTTACAAAACCTGTAGAATAAACTTAAAAAAAAAAAAACTTACCCAAACCCAACGATGGGCCAAGTTCTTCTAGAATGTTGCTACACGCCATCACTGTTTCTATATTGGAGGTCCAATTAAATACTTCTCATAGAGAAGCATTTGATTGTACCATTCTCACAGTTTTACAGACTCAGAGTGCATGTGTGGATTGCACTCGCACTGACAAGGAGGTAAGAGAGGGGACAAAAAAATAAAATAAAAATGGACGATTGATCGTGCCTATAGGGAGGCGGGGAGGGAGGGAACAACTTTTACTGTAGATATGTACGATGACTATTTGCATGCAAGCATCACACACACAGTCCTACAAGCTTCTATTTGCAGGCTCACTCACACCAAGGAAAGAAGATAATTATATTCAACGCCATGTAAATTTTATAAAATTATGCGAATCCTGTACTGGTTACACATGGGCGTTTCGCATTTACCAGGGGAAGGATAGCCATATTGACCCACCAGGATGCCCTGATTCTGTGGGTACAAGTGGAAAGATTGTTTGGTATCTAATCCTTCCCTTGTTGAATAAGGGATATAGGCTATGGGTTGACAATTATTATACCAGTATACAGTTATTTAAACATTTATATTGCTTAGAAACCCTAGCCTGTGGCACAGTGAGGAAAAATCTCAGGGGTTTCCCCCAAACCCTGGCAAGAGGTAGAAGCAGTAGAGGTTCCTATTCAGCACTCCGCCACGATGAGTTGCTTTCCCTTCGTTTCACAGATAGGAAGGATGTATACATGCAGTCTACAATGCATCTCGAAAGTACAGTGCCAGTGTCTGTGAGAGGTAGCACTGAACATCTGGAAAAGCCGAAGTGCATTGTAGACTACAGCAAGTTTATGGGGGGAGTAGATTTGGCTGACCAATGCATACAGCCCTATCTAGTAAACCGGAAAACTAGGACCTGGTACAAGAAAATTGAAATCTACGTGAGCCAGATTGCAATTTTCAATGCCTATGTCCTCTATAAAAAAGAGGTCATAGGCAAGCCCTGCCCTTTCCTAGACTTCACTCTAAGCCTTTTGTCCCATTTATTATTTACCCAGCCCCCCAATCCCACTTTGGGATCAGAAGATCTCCAAAGACTTTGTGGCAAACACTTCCCTTCCCGAATCCCTGCCACCGCCAGTAAAAGAAATTCCCCCAAAAAGTGCCATGTTTGCTACAAGAAAGGAGTCCAAAAGGACTCTAGTTATTATTGCCCAACTTGCCCATCTAAACCCGGCCTCTGCATAACAGACTGTTTCAAAGTCTACCATACAGAGCTGAACTTCTAAATCACTCTGTATGGGACTTTGGCAGTTTGTTTGCTTGATTTCCCTGGATTTCTGACCTCGGCTTGTCCTGACTACGCTTTGTTAGCTGCCTGTACCGACCCATTGGTTTGTTTTACCGACTACTCTAACTTCTGGATTCCCCTGACCTTGGCCTGTCCCTGTTTACGCTAGCCATTCTAAAGTGGCTACACCAAACAACTCAAAATACTACAATTGTAGTATTTGAAATGTGCCTTCACAAAAAAAAATAAATAAAAAAAAACCAATCACAGGGTTAATGCTGCGATTAGCACTGAAAGGGTTAATAAAATCACATTATTTTTTTTTTTTCTTAAAAAGACAAAAACTAAAAGTAGATATCGCTACATGGGCCCAGCATTTCTGTTAAAATGGCTAGACCAAACATCTCAAGGTCTGCATTTTATTGTACTCTGGGTTGCCTACTTTTGAAAATGGTATGCCATAAATGTGGAAATGTTATTACCCAGGCTGCCATGCTCTCTGAATAGCCACATAGGTCCAGAAAATCACTTTGCCAAATTTCCAACTTTGAAATCTAATATTTTGTCCCCTTGACTACCCTCCAAAAAACAGAAAATCTGGTACATGGGGGTACTGTTATATTCAGGAGACAATGTTAAAAAAAAAAAAAATAGTGAGGCTTTGTTGCAATAACCCATACCAGGAATAGGAAATGTCACGTGAAAGGTGAGTTCATGTGTGGAAAAAAGCACAAATAAATCTATTACCGCTATGTGGGCCCTTCATTTCTGATAAAGTGGTTAGACCAAACATCTTAAAATGCACCATTTGTTATACTCTGGGTTGCCTACTTTTGAAAATGGTATGCCATAATAGTGAAAATAATTTTACCCAGGCTGCCATGCTCTCTCAAAGGCAAGATAGACCCAGAAAATCGCTTTGCCAATTTTCAATGTTTAAAACCAAAAATGGACAGGCGTATATTTGACCCTGTAACTTTCCAAAACCCCATAAAAAAATATACATGGGGGTACCGTGGCGCTTGTGAGACATCACTGAACAGAACTAGGAGTGTTTCAGGGCAGTAAACTACATACTGACAATAAAATTACAGTTTATATGTGAAATACAAAAAAAACACAAACACTAACTTTGGCTAGGGTTTGTGCCCTAGTGGCTACTACAAAAGAATGGGCATACCCCATTTTGAATACCCTATAATGGTATGCCATGAAGGGGGTTTTGTGGCTGCCATACGGTCTCAAAGGTGGCCTTGTCATAGCAAACCAATCAAATTTATATGTAAAAAATAAAATAAAAATAATGGACAAGCCGTATATTTGACCCTGTAACTTTCCAAAACCCTGTAAAACCTATACATGAGGATTACTGTTTTACTTGTGAGACATTTCTGAATACAAATATGTATGTTTTATTGCAGTAAAACCGAACAGTATTGTGACATTAACGGTTAAATTGACATGCTGAAATTGAAAAATAGCAACATTTCTTAATTGTTTTAACTTTTTTAGATTTTAATCATATAAAATGGAGTTCCATATATGAATGTTTGATATGGAATGAAAGCCCTTTTTCCCCAGAACAAATTGACGAACAAATAAGTCTGGGTGCATTTAATATGAAAGAGGTAAATTATGGTTGATCAGACATAAAGCCAAATTCTGTGGTTTGTTTACATTTTGTTTTGATCACAACTTGTACATTTGGCTCAGTCCTTAAGGGGTAAAAATGTCATGAACTAAATTTTTTTTTAAAAAATTCTTATTTTCTCACATTTTTTTTTTTATATTAAATTATGTTCCATACCTAAATATTTGATGTTAAATGAAAGCCCTGTTTCCCCTGAATAAAATGATATATAATAAGTGTGGGTGCATTTAATATGAAAGAGGTGAATTACAGTTGGACAGACATTTAGCGCAAATGCCAGGTTTTGTTTTGATCACAACATTTTTGATCAGTACATTTGGCTGCGGTTTTAAGGGTGACACCAAAGTTTATAGATTTTTGCAATTTTAATCATAATATTTTTAAATATCGGACAGCAGCAAAACAAAAAACAATTAAATAAAAAAAGCACTTCCACATAAATCACAAATCCAAAATGTGTATACTGTATATATAAATATAGTTAATACAATGTTAAACACAAACTCTGCACACCAGTCAAGCCATAAGACTTGCTTTTCCCACAAAAAAAATAAAATAAATATCACAAATCTGCTGTGATGTTACAACCGCAAAGGATTCCGGGTGGGCATATGCAAATTAGTTTAACAAAATCACATTTTTGCCTCGTTCCATTTTAAACATGGATTCCTTTGAGTGTGTTTGCTGTATACAACAGCTTTGAAACACAACGTAGGAAAAGATGCAAAGCCAGTGAACCACTAATGGACAGTTGTTTTTTTGTTAAAGGACCACTATAGTCACCCAGACCACTTCAGCTCAATGAAGTGGTCTGGGTGCCAGGTCCCCCAGGTTTTAACCTTGCAGCTGTAAACATAGTTTCAGAGAAACTGCTATGTTTACATTGCAGGGTTAATTCATGGCAGGGTTAATCCAGCCTTTGGGGCTGTCTTCCTGACAGCCACTAGAGGCGCTTCCACGACGCTCAATGCAAAAATGTAATGCTTTCCTATGGGCAGTTTGAATGCGTGCGCAGCTCTGGCAAAACAGTGCATTCCTTACATATTTCACCCTTGTAATACATGTATAAACGTTAATTTGTACAAAAAAAAATATATAAATATTCAGAAAGAAAGAATGAAAAAGGGTTTTAAAATAGATACTAACAATGAATATAGGTTAGTTTATAAAGAAAACTAAGTGACTTGTAAAAACCTTGGTCAGGAACAATAAATGGGTCCTCCATGTTGTTTCATTGGGCCTCTAAGGTTTGAAAGATGAGCCCAGGGAACTGCTCATAAACACTGGCCACTATAGACATATTGCATTCCTCAGAGTTATGCGGCCTGTATAATACTGGATACTTAGTGTCTGATAAATGTGTTTTGCAGAATTCATTTTAGTTTAATTTTTTACAGCAGTAGGATTTGTCATTTAAAACTAAAGCACTGGATATTCAAGCGGATGCCATGTATGTTATCCATATCAAATACAGGTTATGGATCACTGCACATAAATCAGGAGTACTGGGGGTCCCTGTGAAAGATGACACCATATGCTTTGGATCTACATAGCAAAGTGTTTCTCAACATTACCAGTAGAAGTTCCCATGTGTGTCCGAAGAAAATAAATAAATAAATAAAACACATTTTCCCTCCCCCCCAGTACACCTTTATCCACGTTATCCTATAAAGGGCAAGATCAGGCAAAAATTGTTTGCTGCACCCTCATGAGTCCAGATTTACCCTCACCCTCTCAATGCGAAAATGTAATGCTTTCCTATGGGCAGTTTGAATGCGCGCAGTGTGTGTTGTGTGTAGGGGGCAGTGTGTGTTGCTGTCTATATGAAGTGTTGAGGCAGTGTGTGTTGCTGTCTATATGTAGTGTTGAGGCAGTGTGTGTTGCTGTCTATATGTAGTGTTGAGGCAGTGTGTGTTGCTGTCTATATGTAGTGTTGAGGCAGTGTGTGTTGCTGTCTATATGTAGTGTTGAGGCAGTGTGTGTTGCTGTGTATATGTAGTGTAGGAGGCAGTGTGTGTGTTGCTGTGTATATGTAGTGTAGGAGGCAGTGTGTGTTGCTGTGTATATGTTGTGTAGGAGGCAGTGTGTGTTGTTGTGTATATGTAGTGTAGGAGGCAGTGTGTGTGTTTCTGTGTATATGTTGTGTAGGGGGCAGTGTTTGTGTTGCTGTGTATATGTTGTGTAGGAGGCAGTGTGTGTGTTGCTGTGTATATGTAGTGTAGGAGGCAGTGTGTGTTGCTGTGTATTTGTAGTGTAGGAGGCAGTGTGTGTGTTGCTGTGTATATGTTGGGTAGGGGGCAGTGTGTGTTGCTGTGTATATGTAGTGTAGGAGGCAGTGTGTGTTGCTGTGTATATGTAGTGTAGGAGGCAGTGTGTGTTGCTGTGTATATGTTGTGTAGGAGGCAGTGTGTGTTGCTGTGTATATGTAGTGTAGGAGGCAGTGTGTGTGTTGCTGTGTATATGTAGTGTAGGAGGCAGTGTGTGTTGCTGTGTATATGTTGTATAGGAGGCAGTGTGTGTTGCTGTGTATATGTAGTGTAGGAGGCAGTGTGTGTGTTGCTGTGTATATGTAGTGTAGGAGGCAGTGTGTGTTGCTGTGTATATGTAGTGTAGGAGGCAGTGTGTGTTGCTGTGTATATGTAGTGTAGGAGGCAGTGTGTGTGTTGCTGTGTATATGTTGGGTAGGGGGCAGTGTGTGTTGTTGTGTATATGTAGTGTAGGAGGCAGTGTGTGTGTTGCTGTGTATATGTAGTGTAGGAGGCAGTGTGTGTTGTTGTGTAGGAGGCAGTGTGTGTGTGTTGTGTATATGTTGTGTAGGAGGCAGTGTGTGTTGCTGTGTATATGTTGTGTAGGGGGCAGTGTGTGTTGCTGTGTATATGTAGTGTAGGGGGCAGTGTGTGTTGCTGTGTATATGTTGTGTAGGGGCAGTGTGTTGTTGTGTATATGTAGTGTAGGAGGCAGTGTGTGTGTTTCTGTGTATATGTGTTGTGTATTCCCCAATCGTACAGTAATCACAGCTCTCACTCACCAGGCAGCTTCCTGTGTCAGTATCTCCGGCCGGGGATCTATGGATAGAGATATGGATAGCTCGGTCTGTCAGCCCCCAGCATGTCCTGCCCTCACTGCCAGCAGCTCCCACGGCCTCACTCATTCGGACAAACCGCCTGCCCAGCCCCAGCATCAACCGCCACTCTGATTGGCCGCCTCCAGGTGCTCTGCTTCGAACTGTCCAATCAGAAACGGCAGAACGCCCATCAGACAGCGCTCTACCTCACTTCCAACTAGCACAGAGCTGCAGCTGCCATACAGACAGCCCAATAGATAACATCACTGGGTTATTCAGGCAGCTGTCATCACATGTAACATCACATGTACTATACACAGAGCAACATGGACCATACACAGAGCAACATGGACCATACACAGAGTAACATGCACCATACACAGAGCAACATGTACTAAACAGAGCAACATGCACCATACAGAGAGCAACATGTACCATACACAGAGCAACATGGACCATATAGAGAGCAACATGGACATTACGCAGAGCAACATGGACCATATGCAGAGCAACATGTACTAAACAGAGCAACATGCACCATACAGAGAGCAACATGTACCATACACAGAGCAACATGTACTAAACAGAGCAACATGCACCATACACAGAGCAACATGGACCACACACAGCAACATGGACCATATAGAGAGCAACATGGACATTACGCAGAGCAACATGGACCATACGCAGAGCAACATGGACCATACAGAGTAACATGGACCATACAGAGTAACATGGACCATGTACCATACACAGAGCAACATGCACCATACACAGAGCAACATGGACCATACACAGAGCAACATGTACCATACACAGAGCAACATGTACTAAACACAGAGCAACATGCACCATACACAGAGCAACATGCACCATACACAGAGCAACATGCACCATACACAGAGCAACATGGACCATACACAGAGCAACATGCACCATACACAGAGCAACATGCACCATACACAGAGCAACATGCACCATACAGAGAGCAACATGGACCATACAGAGAGCAACATGGACCATATAGAGAGCAACATGGACCATATAGAGAGCAACATGGACCATATAGAGAGCAACATGGACCATACAGAGCAACATGGACCATACAGAGCAACATGGACCATACAGAGCAACATGGACATTACGCAGAGCAACATGGACATTACGCAGAGCAACATGGACCATACAGAGTAACATGGACCATGTACCATACACAGAGCAACATGTACGATACACAGAGCAACATGTACTATACAGAGAGTACAGTCTGTTAGCATAGAGCAACATGGACTACAGAGAGCACAGCTAGCATAGAGCAACATGCACTATACAGAGGGTACAGACTGTTAGCATAGAGCAACATGTACTGTACACAGAGCAACATGGACTATACACAGAGCAACTTGCACTATACAGAGAGTACAGACTGTTAGCATAGAGCAACATATACTATAGAGAGAGCACAGCTAGCATAGAGCAACATGCACTATACAGAGGGTACAGACTGTTAGCATAGAGCAACATATACTATACAGAGCGCAACATGGATTATACAGAGAGCAACATGCACTATACAGAGAGCAACATGCACTATACAGGGAGCAACATGTAATATACAGAGAGTAGACTGTTAGCATAGAGCAACATGCATTATACAGAGAGTACAGACTGTTAGCATAGAGCAACATGGACTATACAGAGAGCACAGCTAGCATAGAGCAACATGGACTATACAGAGAGTACAGACTGTTAGCAGAGAACAACATGTACTATACAGAGAGTACAGACTGTAGGCATAGAGCAATATGCACTATACAGAGAGTACAGACTTAGCATAGAGCAACATGCACTATACAGAGAGCAACATGTACTATACAGAGATTACAGACTGTTAGTATAGAGCAACATGGATTATACAGAGAACACACCTAGCGTAGAGCAACATGGACTATACAGAGAGTACAGACTGTTGGCATAGAGCAACATGGACTATACAGAGAGTACAGACTGTTGGCATAGAGCAACATGCACTATACAGAGAGTACAGACTGTTGGCATAGAGCAACATGGACTATACAGAGAGTACAGACTGTTGGCATAGAGCAACATGGACTATACAGAGAGTACAGACTGTTGGCATAGAGCAACATGGACTATACAGAGAGTACAGACTGTTGGCATAGAGCAACATGTACTATACAGAGAGTACAGACTGTTGGCATAGAGCAACATGTACTATACAGAGAGTACAGACTGTTGGCATAGAGCAACATGGACTATACAGAGAGTACAGACTGTTGGCATAGAGCAACATGGACTATACAGAGAGTACAGACTGTTGGCATAGAGCAACATGTACTATACAGAGAGTACAGACTGTTGGCATAGAGCAACATGTACTATACAGATAGTACAGACTGTTGGCATAGAGCAACATGCATTATACAGAGAGTACAGACTGTTAGCATAGAGCAACATGTACTATACAGAGATTACATACTTAGACTGCTAGCATGGTTATCCATCAGCTCCCATAGGGCAATATACAGAGAGTATATAGGCAGCACTGACAGAGCAACAGCCACAATACAGAGAGCACTCACATAGAGTTATTTACTAAAGTGAGAATTCAAAGTTCAGTTAAATTTTAAGGCCAAACTAGCCAAATTGGGAGCATACCTGTGGACTACTTTTATCCCACGTCTACTATTTTGGACTTACATTTGAAATTCAATTTGATTTCTTGAAAATTACTACTTTAGTGTATATCAATGTTGGTCTGCTCATATTGGGTTATCCAAACATTCCTGTTAGAATAACTGCCTCTTTCTTAAAGGAACACTCCAAGCACCGTAACCTCTACAGAGGGCTCTCATTCTGGTGCCACGGGTAGAATGTAACTGTTTAAACCATTTTAGATTAGTTTGAATTCTTACCTGGGGTCTGCCAGTTGCTGCAACTTCCAACATGTTGCTGCCTTAGCATCATATGTGTTGCAGTTCTGAATGAATAGGTGATTCGCTTTTGCGGTCTAAGGTGGATCCACTGCTGTTGCTTAATTGCAGTTCCCATGATGATTATCCAGCTGTGCTGGATGAGCATCAAGGTAGCTGCAGTTTCACTTACTCCAAGGCTGTTCCTCCGCTGTTACAGAGCAGCGCAAACTTGATGCTCAGCCAGTCCTGGAAGCAGAATTGTGGTTTTCAGCTGGCATTTGTGTTTCAAAAGATGATTCCTCAACAGCTCCCTAAATTTTGCATATCAAAAAAGAGATGCTGAATGCATCCATTATATACCCACAATTCTGTTCTCCTTCTTGGGCCAGTCGGAACATTTTTGATTTTTAAATCTATTAAATTCCTCTTTTTTTTCGTTTGCTTGTTTTTTTTCCTCCTGACATGTGCATCAAACAGGTCAGATTTACTTACTGTTACTACATTGCCGCACCGGTCTCCATGCTGCCACCCTATATCTCTTTTTTTAGTTAATTAACCTTGATGATCTCAGACAATACAATATCCCATGGGTAAGCACTGGGAGGCTAGAGCTAATGCAAAGCGTGGAGACGATGGCCGTAGGTCCTACAAAAATTGCTGGACCTTGTCCAGGAAGTCTGATTAGTGGCTGTCTGAGTGACAAACACTAGAGGTGGACTTGGACAGCAATGTAAACTTTGACTTTTATCTGAAAATGCAGTGTTTACAATCCTGAGCTTGCAAGGACAGGCTATGCCCCAGATCCACATTACTCTGCAGTGGTTCTTGTTATGACTGTCCCTTTATAAAACTAGATTGCCTTTGTGACGAAGTGCCCTTCACCACTTGTGCCTGGAGAGGACTAATTGCCAGCCTCCTGCCCTACGACTATGGCCCCTGGAAGACTTTTCCCTTTAAATACGTTATTTGGGCATAGTGGATTTTATTAGATTGGTTCTGGCCCTTTAAATGCTCTGACAAAGAATCTGCAGTTTTGCTATGCACTTCGGATGCAGAGTGTGAAGAAAACCCCTGTTTTATGGACTTACCGGTAGTTAGACTGTTTTATCCCCCCCTCCCCCTCTTAAAACACCAGTTTAAACCCTTAAAGGACCACTATAGTGCCAGGAAAACATACTCGTTTTCCTGGCACTATAGTGCCCTGAGGGTGCCCCCACCCTCAGGGCCCCCCTCCCGTCGGGCTGGATGGAGAGGAAGGGGTTAAACTTACCTCTTTTTCCAGCGCCGGGTGGGGAGCTCTCCTCTCCTCCTCCTCGGCTGAATGCACATGCGCGGCAGGAGCCGCGCGCGCATTCAGCCAGTTCATAGGAAAGCATTTACAATGCTTTCCTATGGACGCTGGCGTCTTCTCACTGTGATTTTCACAGTGAGAAGCACGCAAGCGCCTCTAGCAGCTGTTAATGAGACAGCCACTAGAGACTGGATTAACCCTAATATAAACATAGCAGTTTCTCTGAAACTGCTATGTTTATAGAAAAAAGGGTTAAACCTAGCTGGACCTGGCACCCAGACCACTTCATTAAGCTGAAGTGGTTGGGTGCCTATAGTGGTCCTTTAATAACTGTCATATTCTCAAACTCTGTCTGACCCTTATAACTGTCAGTTTGTTTTCCTCTGAGGAGGAGTTGTTTTGCTGCATGAGTGCTGTTGCCTTTGTGTGCTCATTAAACAGACCTGCTTGACTTTTTCTTGAAGCCTTGGCTCATGCTTGGGAGATGGGATAAGTCTGCAGTGCTGATGGTGTCGGTTGGAGTGCTTGGAGTCCTCGGCAAGCACTAGGAGCATCGATTGGCGGAGGTACTCAGTCGGAGTGCCAGCGGGTCCGTCACAGCCTTCTACACAAGAGACCACAGAAATTTCTTTATTTCGGCTTGGACAGGACTCTATTAGGATACACTGCTGAGTTATTGTTGCCAGTATAAGTCCTGATAGTTATCCAATGTAACTAATAATTAGTATTGGGAAGTGGCAACACTTTTCAAGTTTAAAGAGTTTCCTGTGTATTTTGTTTGGAGGAGAAATTCACTTGTTGGGGGTTAAATGTAAAAGTGTTGTGACTGTGACAAAATAGCTTCCATGATAATATGT